AATTCCCCAGCCAGCATGAAGTCCACTCATCTTAAAGTGGCCAAGTTTGGACAACACTGATCTACATGGTGTCATTGGAAAAAGCCTGATTTAGCTAATTCTGAACACAGCTGCCAAATCCATGGATGAGCATTAATCCAATTTAGTCCCTCCTCTTCTTAAACCAAAGGTGTCTTTTCCTGGGATTGTGCTGCAGCTGCAGAAGTCACAGTTGATTTAAGGAGTTTAGGAAGTGCTATGTGAGCATCTCACATGCTCTGAAGAAACTTTTGCCTTTAAACCTGAGGTGCTACCCAAATACATAGGCCTCCCTTCTCCATTTTTTCCCCTACAATGACAAACCTGTTGGATTGGTTGAAATGAGAGATGTGATTGGCTCAGTCATCTACTGAGCTTCCATGGTGGCCTTGAGCTTGTGTCTCTGAGATCTTAATTCAAAATCTTAACCACTACACCAGATTGGCTTTCATCAGCTTTTCAGACAGGCATCCTCTTGGTAACTGATTGAAGACAATGAACACACGTAGGATGGAGACCCCATGTCCATGGGGTTTCCCCTGTGGCCACTGTGTGAGGCTTGAAAAAATGTTTCACCTAAAATCTAGGAAAGATTTTAGGGAACAGTTCTCAAGAGCAGTTCCTTGTTCTGCAGCGACACAGCAAGCTAATACTAGTACCAGTAAACTTTGAACATCCCAATGAGGGCCAACCTGCCAAAATCCAAAGGTCATAGTGCTGATAGGATGGTCAGATTAGAAAGTTATAGCCTTGTGGCTTGTATATATATTGAAAGTAAGAAAGACAGAGATACCCTTTTTCCCTAAAATTGTTATTTTTAGCCCTGATTAGTTAGAAAAGAGGTTTGCTGTGAAGAAAAAAGGAGAAACAAATATGCCGTACTGCCCTCTGCTGGAAGATTATTATTTTGCTGCTGTTATTTTGCTATCTAAATTGTTTAACCGAGCACGTAATGCAGAGGCACTTTCTATGTTGACACTGTCCACAGAAGTTTCAAGTGAATCATAATAATATTATTAATAATCATAAGAATTATTTATTAAATTTATATGCTGCCCGACTCCCAATGACTCTGGGCAGCTTACAATTAACTATTAGGATGTGAGAAGAGGCCACATGGATCTCCTTCGACCCATTTTAACTGGGCTCAAGGTTACTCTATGAATTGTATGGATGAAGTAGAATTTGGACTCAGGCCATAATCCAGATATGCTTAAATCAGGGTGTTCCTACTTCTGAAAGCTGCCAGCAATATACACCAAAGGTGAAATTTAAGAAGAAATGATCGGAGTAATTCATAATGTAATATGGTACTTTAGAATGTGGGGCAGCAATCCTCCCTCCACTTAACTAGAAGAAAGCTCCATTGAACTCAGCGAGGCTTCCTTTCAAGTTAGATTGCAGAGTTAGTCCACTATAATTAAGCCTAAATTGATGGTGGCCTTTTTAAACTCTTTGGGCTGATCACTTTCCTGTTACAAAGAGAAACATGGTTCTTTATTGTCCTGCAAGTTCTATATACAGTGTTAGAAGTATCTTTGTTTTTTCACTGGAATGAGGCTATTTATAGCCAACGAACAACACAAGACAGCACCCTTAGAATATAATTGCTGACTGTGTTGATGAACTGATCTCCCAATAAAAGTACTCTCATATATACGAGTACTTGCAAATAAGCCCATTTAATTGAATGAGACGTACTTCCTGGTGAAGAGGACTAGGACTGCAGCATGGAAGTGAGCCAAAAATTTCTGTGGGGGAAAATGTATTGAATAAAAAGTAACCCACCCATAATCCATGATAAGTTGTTTATTGGTTCCAACATCATTAGTAGATTGGATATTAAACAATACTTTTAAACATTCTCTTAACCAAAAATATAACAAATATTTACAATCACTCAGTAAAAATACAAAAAAGCATACAGAGGCACTGTCTTTCTAAAAGACATAAGTGTAAGAGGTATAAAAAAATAGAAGACAAACATTGCTTGTTACAGAATACTTTACAATCACTGATTTGTGCAGTTTTACAATTGCTATTGGAATACCGTTACAACTGTGCAGTTTTTGCCCATATGCTCACATATGCAAAATGTCATGAATACCAAGCTAAACTGCATTCCATGTATATATAAAGAAATTAAAGACACAACAATGACAAGTACAACTGGAGGAAAAGGGAAAGGAATGGACTGGAGGTGAAATTTGTTTTCTACTCATTTAAATAGTTGGCATTAAATGTTTCAGTCAATGAAGAAGTATTTTTTCCTGATCAGTTTTTGAAGGCAAGTACAATGTTTTAAAATTGCATTTCAGGAAATATGCATTACATGGACCTGTAGCACTGTTTCCTATAAATCATTTGTATGAATGCAAGGCTGAACAGATCAAGCATCTTTCATTTTTTTTAACCTCCTGAGATAAATTGATATAATGGATTCTTATTGGATATCCATTACTCATCATTTGGAATTGCCTCAGCTGTGCAGCAGGATCATATCTCAAGAAGTGTTTTCAAAAGCTGAAGTGAGAATCAGCTTTACTAGCATTAGTGCAAAATTCTCCAACTTTAGAAGAGAAATGCTGGCCATGTACTTATTCAAGTGAAATCAGAACCTTTTTAATTTACCTTATATGACAATATGTGTCAAGGTAACAGAAGTGCACCTATAAATCACCACTTTGGAAAATGTAGCTCAATCTTATGCATATTTTCACAACTTACTTTACCTCCAATATAAATCCTGCCTCAAAGAGGAATCAAATGGCAAATGATGTACAGGCCTACTTACATATTACGATACAGGGTTTCCTTTCCTCCTATTTGTATAAATTAAAAATTGACACTTGTTCCACACGGGAGATTTTTAAACATTCCTATTGCGCTTTCAGAATAAGGCCAACTCCCTCACAATACGATGGAAAAAGAATAAATGTTATATACAGAGAAGAATTGGCCATTTCAAGAACTTGAAAGAAAAAAATCAACATGTGCATGGAGGGGATTCAGAACATGCTAGTAATATGTTCAGTTATATAATGAATAGACATCATGTAAACAGCACAAAATGGGGTTAAGCGGTTTCATAATGAATGGCTTGAAGACAAAAAGAAAAAAAAATCCATTTCCTTGGGCTCACCCAAGCTCCATTTCAGTTTGGCTATTGTCCCTGACCAAGCTGGCAAAACGAAACACATCAGGATCAGAGCAAGGCTCTGCAGGGTGAGGCAGTCTGCACTGTGCAAATCGGAAGCAGTTAAAAGGGCTCACTGACCCGCTGCATATTTACACTATAGGCTCTGCATTAGGAAAATGTATTAACAAGATGCCCAGTGATTTTAAAAATAATGCAATTAAAAAAGCAAGCATCTTTTGATGCTGTCGATACAAACACACCAAATATTTGGCTCATGAGATTTTCAGCAAGGAAAGACCTTGAGGTGGGTTGATAATCTAACAAAGATTACTACCAAAGAGAAAAGGTTTTAATCTTTATGTTTTGTCTCTACAAACTGAAACACATATTGACCTTAAGAGAAATACTGTAATATTGGCCCTAAGCACTGTAAGTCTACTAAGTCTAAAGTCATGTTACGTTTGCACTTATAAACTGCATGAAACGTGTGTGAACTGGACTTTCTGGGAACTCAGGACTCAGATTTAGAAGTTTGCTTTTGACAAGCATAACCTCTTTCTTTGACAGCCCAGGCACATCTGGCAAGAAGCACCTCCACACCAGGGACATCGAAGTTCTCCCTAAAGTCCATCCAGCAACCTGCAGTTTTAAACAGAGTAAGAGTATGCCCATTCCATTGGACATCAGCTGTAGCAAGAACTTCAACAGATGCTTTGCAAATGCCTTTCCTGCCTCTGTTAAGGGTTTCTAGGAGATGACCCATCAGAAATATACTTTACACAAGTCTCTGAATCAGTGGGAACTGCACTACTATGGATTATGCAGTGTTTTTTGTGCAGGAAATTTTAACTCTGTTGTGCCTGCAGTAACATTATTATAAATGCTAAAATCATGGATGCCAAGCTTCAGTATTTTCTCATTGTTGGTTGCTGTTGGTCTTGGGGGAAAGAAAATGTCTCAGCTATTTATTCCAGACATTGAAGTAGTAGCATACATTCAGTCAATTAATTGTTGAATTAGGTTATCAACTCAGTTCTATGTTCAGATTTATAACTTCATGTTACAAGGCATTAAAGGAGTTCTCCAATAGACTTACAGAAATCCAAAAGACACGCTTTTTTCATATATGCTTTCTGGGAAAGCTATCACTGACCTAAGCCAATATGCAAACAGAAAGTTTTGATTCTTATAAGCATCAGGACAAGCGACATTCACCTTGCACAGGAACAAAAATCTGAAAACTGTTTATAACTTGAAGTGTAAAAAATAAGGTTACTTTGAGGCACCTGTAAAACTGACAGACATCTTCCTTCTACCCTAGACTGTAAACATTTATGATATTAAGGTTTACAAGTAAACTTTAAATATACATTGAGACATTCATGTCCACTGATTATGTTTGACTAGGCAACCATTATGCGGTAGGGGAAGAATATAAATGCAAATAATAACTCCAGTTTTTTCTATGTACTCTGGTTGGCTAAGTAAAGCTGCCATGTCAACCCAGTCTTTTGTCTTTTATCTTGCATAATACATGTGCACATGTGTATTATACATATAAGTCAGGGAATCATCTTTCTCTGGAAATAGCACCTTTGTAATCAACCCACCTTGCGGGAGAGCATCTCTTCCAAGGACAATATAAATGTGGTGATAGATATGCCTGCAGTTCCACTGGGTTTTAAAGGTGATTTGAAGTCACACTTGCTGGGTATTTCCAAAATCCAGCACACAAGCTTGAGATGAGAGAGGAAATTCCATCTTCCAATCACACCAGGCACTTGAATATGAGAAGTTCTGCTGCTTCATTCCCCATCCCCCCAAAAAAGCCTAGAGCAACAATATGCATAAGCCTTGTCCCTTTCTCATTTTTTAGAATGTGCTTACCAGGGGTGAGTAAATAGGTGGCTCTGGTAGGTGATTGTGGTGGCAACAAACGATATGCTTCATTTTACAAGTTCTCAGATTGGTAAAACTATGTTTTAAGCATTCAGTATGCTTGTAGTAACATCTGGGATGATCTGGAACAATTTTCCTCAACATGCAACTTCCACACTTGCTGGGATGTCACATCCCAACTATTGTTATGGGCATCTAGAAGATTATCCAGCTGGAATGTCTTTTAAAGTCTCTGAATCAATGGGAATCTATTACTCCAGACTTCATAGTGGATATGTGCAGGAAAGTTTTATCTCTCAGTTGTCCCTGTAGTAACATTGTTGTAACTGCTGAAATCATGGATGCCAGGCTTTTGTATTTTCTTGTTGTTGGTTGCTTTAAGGTCTTGGGGGGAAGAAAAAAGAGCCCTGATGTCTCAGCAACTTATTACAGACATTTAAGGTTAATTAGTAAGATATATTCAGTCAATCATTCTTGAATTAGATAGGCTATCCACTCCCTTCTATGTTCCGATTTGTAATATCATGTTAGAAGTTCATATTTTGTAATTTTTAACTTGCTAGAATGCAAGGAGTTTCTACCCAAATATATTGAGAAGGCAACAGGTTGAGAAAGGTTGACCTACTAGTTGTTATACATTAACTTTATTTTTGGCAGCAAGAACAGTAGTCCAAATGCCAACAGTAATTTGGTCATCAACTGCATAAAATATTGAAAAATGCCTTTCATTTCAAAGCTTGAAAACTCTGCTTTCTTGTGTTTGTCATGTACCGAGAACTACTGTTTTCCAAATACAAGGGTTCATCTTGGATTTCATAAACTCAAAATTTATGAACAATGAAGCTGATTTAAATACAAAAAATGACTTGCAACCAAACTGCTCTTATGAAATGGGAAGAAAAATTTCAAATAAAATTGGAAATCTGAAATAATATATAGGCTGTACTACCATATTATCATCATCATCATCATCATCATCATCATCATCATCATCATCATATCACCACCACCACCACCTAATGGTCCTTCTTATTTCTATGACTTTGCTCCTAAATTTATAAATCTGAAAACTTTTAAGTTAACTTCTAAAGAGCAGAACTTGTTGGGTACTTCTCCAATGCAAGTCTTGTAGAAGAGGAAACACCTGGTAAGTCTCTAGGTAGATAATGATACAAACGTGCCACGAAATTGTAGAAGGAAGAAAATGGAATGTAGGAAAGAAAAAAAAATGCAAGTATTCTCTTAATCATTTGATAGTTGAAAGGAACTGCATGTATTTTACTGGTTTTAAAATACAGGATCAATAGATGGCAGTATTTCACTACTGTATGCACATCAAAACACACTCAATATACACCTCTAAGGGCTTGATATTTTACAGATTGACGTGGTTGATGTTGCACTGTGTGTAAACCTCTAGCTGCACTCATGAACATCCAGTTCCTTAGAAATCAAGTGTTTTGTTTAGCATAAGACATCACGCTAACACCTAAACAATTTGCTTCCTTATTTTCTTTGAAAAAAGCATTCACATTAGCCAACCAGAGCATTCCAATACATGTACAAACAAACAAAAATCCTTATATAAATTCCAAATTAATAAATTACTCTTCAGATTGCTGCAGAAGTTTCCTTAGTTTTGATGTAGTTTTCCAATTTCCATAAGTACATAAAATAATTTTCTTCAACTGAGAGCCATAACAGTTATATAGAAAATATCTGAACAAAGTCTACTAAAAGATTCTATAGTTCTTCTACAGAAGATTGCTCCCAAGCTGGTCCAAATGCATCAAATATTAGGTCCTTCTTGATACTGCAATACAGGGTCAGTATTTCTTAGAATGAGTGTTTTCTCTTTCCAATATAGTTTTCTTAGACTCCATCAAACAGATTGCAGTGGGCTGAAGCAAATTCAAATAATTTTGAATCCAGATAATTCATCCTACTAGTCGAAGAGAGGCAAACACAATTCTTTGAAGTCAATAGCAGCAAGCTGCCAGCTATAGCTGACAATACTGTAAAATTCCTTCCTCCAATGTTGTTATGATTTGAAACAATTTTCACTGGAAGCACAGAGGCTAGACTGCTGATACTTGTTCATCTTCTGTAAAATAAGAAAAACAATGTAAACTCTCTGTGTCATGAACATACAATATATTTAAATTAAAGTTGTGAAATATCTACTGTCACATACCTAGGATTTTCTCTTGAGTTAAAACAGACCTTAAATTTTTTTAAAAAAACTTTCTTTACTGCTCTTTTGGCACTGTTACTCATGCAAAGAATAGTGAAAAAAAATTAAAAATTTTCCTAAAACATATCTAATTCTAAATCATATTGGCAATTAAATGTGGTGCAGCTAACAATGTTGGGATTTTGGGTAATGATTCATAGTACGATTCACAGGCCTCAAAGATAGTTAGGCTGGCCTGTGCCTTTCATAATGTCATGCCAACATGGCATTTGGAGGCTTTCAAAAGAAAGTTAATGTGGTAAATATCCCACCAGGTCAATGTTGAATCTCAGCCACACTTTGCAAATGGGCTGACAAAATTCTCACAGAATGAGACAGTATAGTATGGTAAAGTGCAGTGTAGTATTAAGACTAGGACTAGGGAGGACCAGCCAGTCACAGAGTAACCTTGTATCAGTCATAGTCACTCAAACAGAATGGAAGAGAATCATTTGATTCCACACTCCTTGGATTCCTCCAGGAGTAAGGTAATATTGTAATATTGTAATATGTAATTAAAGGATAATTTTGAATTAGTAACCATATAATCCATTTTAAGAGGCAGTTTGGTATGGTGCTTAAGGCATCAGATCAGAAACTGGGAGACTATGAGTTCTAGTCCCACCTTAGGCACAAAGCCATCTGGGGGACCTTGGGCCAGTCACGCTCTCTCAGCCCTAGGAAGGAGGCAAGGGCAAACCACTTCCCAAAAACCTTGCCAAGAAAACTGCAGGGACTTGTACAGGCAGTCACCAGGAGGCAAAAACTGATTCGAAGGCACAAGTATAAAATGAAATTAAAAAAATAAATAAAAATAAAAATAAAATCCATCCTAATGTATTGTTTTTTGAGCTCTCTAGCATATGGGCCAGAAAGGCTGACTTATTCTACAGAAAAGAAAGAATACCTGATGAAACAGAACATTTCACAGAAACGCAACACTTTAATAAATGTTTGTGCAGGTTTAGCAACATATATTCATAGATATATACATATACACATCCAACCCACCCACCCATTTTTTTCAACATAATGCAACTACAAGCTTCTTTTGTACAACACTATAAAATGATTTCAAAGCAAGTTGGATAAGATTTATGCTAAAATTCTAGCTTTATAAAAGCAAAATCTGGGAAAAGCATTCAGACTCATGGATTCAATTAAAAACTGAGCCAGACAAACCACAAATAATGGCAGACAACAGAAAATGGAATGCAAATGTCATGGAAGTCAAAATTCAAAATTGCTTATTTCTAAGAGGTAAATGAATAACAAAGAGAAAAGTGAAAACTTCAGATTCAACTTCTTTTAAATCTTCATGATTTTATAAACTCTGTTTTTTTTAAATATTACTGTTGAGATATAAAGGGTTCAGAACAGAGGTCAAATACAAAGCATCAGTGGGTCTCTGTGGACTTGATTTTGTTCAGTGAGCAATTTCATGAGGATTGCAAGTTTTGTTCATAAATAATTGAAACTGCAATTTAAAGCCTCGTCTGTTCAGCTGTTTTTGATCTAACAGCATTCTCTCAGAACCTTGTGTGTGGAAACTAATGGCCATTTACTGTGTGGCTGCCCAGTACATATACCTACAACATTTAACTGCATGGAGAGTCATCAGTTTGGGACTCTGGCTAGGTCTAATAATGCTCTACTGAGTAACATGTTAAGAAATACTCAGCTTCCTGCAATAACAGAAACCTCTATCTGACAAGTTCTGCCCTTGAGAAGAGTTGCTTCATGGAATGTTTTAGATGATCTCTATGTAGCAGAGGTATGCACTGCTAATCATAATTCTGTTTATCTCTAGTTCCTAAAAACATAGCTGATGTAGCTACTTTTAAAATAATTTCTGTTTCATCAGTCACAGCCTTTTAGACTGTCAAGAACAATTGTTTTCTTCTTTTTACTCTGGGTAGGGTCAGGAATTTTGGACCACTATTGACCTGCTTCTTGTAAACATGCTACTTAATTATTAGTGTCCCCATACACTAATTTTTCTGATTTTTTTTCCCCTTTAGGATTACTTATTCTCACAATAAGCATACATAAAGCATATACAAATGAATGAAAAGAAGAGGGGAGAAAAGAATCACTGAGGCACATTCAAGGCAAGGCTTGTAAGGTAAGACAGACTGTGCACTTCCCCAAATTTATAATAAATCACACACCACTTCACTCAACAGCTATCAAAGGAGATCATTTAACATACCATCCTCTTCACTATTTGCGCCAGTCATATCTGCTAGCTTAGGATGGGACGGTTGCCGGCTATGCCACTTAGGCATCTTCTTTGGAAAACAGGCCACTGGTTCGCTACTCAGAGGAGTGGAGGAGAGCCTAGACAGCATCTTTGACCTCTGCACCGCCACACTATAGTCTGGAGGCTTTAGGTGTGGGTGGTGGGTTCCTTCTTTTATGTCCGCTAAAGAAATCCCCATATATCCTGGTGGGGTGGGCGGAGGCTCCCTATATCTAGTGTCTTCCTTAGATGAGGTGACACAGTACACTAGCACAAGAAATAAGCAATGGAAATGTTAATGAAGGAAACAAAGAAAAATAAAAGCATTTTTTAAAAAAACAGTGAAATGTTATAATGACTTAACCAAAAACGGATTAAACAAAAGGTAAATGAGAATCATTCATAAAACACCACTGGCAGTCACAGTATAGGAGGACCACTAGCTCAGCATTCTTTAATTCTTAAGAATCTTTTCTAATACTTTCTATTTCAGATGCACATAGCCGACCACAATCTCAAGTAAGAATATCCAGTTGTGCTGAGAAAAGGACAAGAGTGTGGTGGTGAAACAGTAGCTCTAATTTGAAAACAGAAATTGGAAGGGGGGGGCAAGTCTAAAGCAATGCATTTTTTAATAAGTTGGCACAAGATCAGCTTACTAGTTAACTACTAGTTGTCTGGAAGTGCTATATTAACTATGATTTATTTGACCATCACCATTAATTTTTTTTTTTATTCCCTGGACTTCCAAATTTCTTTTTCTAGAAAATATTCAGATATCAGGTTGACTGACCCTGGTCTTAAAAAATGTATTATTTTGGAAAATTCTCATGTCTGCTGATCTATTAAATGTATGCCAACAGCAAACCACAATGATCTCAAAATGATGACACATGTGCTGATGTCATCACACAAATGCCATCCTTACATATTTGTGTCAAAAATTCAATCAAGTAGGTAAGTTGTAGCATTTGCATGATGACATAGCCACACATGTTATATCTGTCGGAAACATTCTTCTAAATAAGGTACCATGATACCATCCCCCAAAGCCTTTCCTCTGAAGTTTTTCTCCAATATCAGACAACTCATTTTTGTTTAGGCAAACTGTTTATATATAGGGGCTTTGGATTTTGAGGTGTCTGCTTTTGGAGTTGTATTTTTAAGTGATCGGCACCAAGCGTTGGTGAAAAAGCAAGGCAGAAATGGAATAAATAATTAAATATTATCCTGAACTGTTTGAATGACTGGAAGCTACTTTTCAAAGCCCTAATTCTTCAAACACTGGTGGATTACAGACAATTTTCATTAGTTACTTTATCCCAACAATCTATAATTTACTGACCAAAGTACATTAAAAAATAAAGAGCACATAATGGAACAAATGTGATTTAGTTTGCCCTTTCCAAATCCAAGAATTAACTATACTTCAAATATTTGACATTTAATTCCAGCAACATTCGTAGTCCATGCTATAAAAATTCCCACAATTAAGATCATTGCTTGCCTTTACAAAAATTCCATGTGGTTTTGTTTGCAAAGCTTATGGTCATTTATTTGTTTTCAACTTTAAGGCTATCTCATTCTCACTGTGAGAGACATCCACATGTGCAATGCACATTAAAAAGGAGCAGGGTTGCAACTGCAAGTTCCCACCCACCAGATTGACTTTTTTTGACGCCCCTGATTGCGATCTTTCTTAAACATTTAGATCTGCAATCTTGCATTCTTTGGAAAGGTAACTCAGTGGCCCTAAAATACTTCGAAGACAAGGAGGAAGGACTGATCTCTGAGGCAGAAATGTGACTCGATACAGGAGTGGGGATAAGAGATCACTGGGTTTGCATCATCACCGAAAGGCCATTTTTGAACTCTGAAACACTTCCATAGCTGTGACAGGATTTTCTATGTATATTCCAATATTAAATCATTGTCAGTCATTCCTGACTGTCTACTACAAATCCATATACCAAGGGCAACAAATACAGTTTGAAACCTTGAAGAATCTATTAGAGGGGCAGGGAGAGCAAAAAAGGACACTGAAATGTTATGGTAGGTCCTGCTACACACCCAGTCATATCTACAGACCACAAATTATCTATATAGAGACAGTGAGAAATCTGGGTGCATTGCTAAAGCCCCTGGAAGTTCTAGACCAGGTTTATTTACTGTGTCCAGAAATGCCATTTGCAGCTGCTTCAATTCTAAAATAGCTGGTTTCTGGAAATTGTCAAAAAACCGACTGCCAAATGACAGGCTTCATCTTACTCAAACAATTGTTATTTTAATGGAATGCAGTAAGCCCCTTTGGTTTATAAAAGTAAACAGTAAAATTCAATTACAAATAGGTATTTTGGTTAAATAGAAAGGGGTTGATTGCATGTGATGTTCTAATTCTCAGCTGCACTATGATTCTGAATAATTCTTTTTAAAGTGTTGCTTAATATTGCATCCTTATGAAAACATGAAAAACAGACAGCTGTTACAATTAGTAAGGCAAGAATATGTTAGACTAGTCAGAGCTGCGAAAGAGTAAGTTTGACTGGTTAGACAATATTGGATTTATGTAGATCAGTTATAATCCTGCACAAACTTTCAGCAATGTTAGTTTTGATTTTAAGAATGAAATGTTAATGGATGGATGCTTGCTTTTGGATAAGAAAGTACAAGCAAATTGTTTATGAATTGGGTTTCACTCTACCTCTTGGCCATACGTATTATTGTTATTGCTATAATGTTACCCTGCCTTTTTAAAATATATTTTGGTCAACTCAAGGCAGCAAACATACTTAATACTCCTGCCTCCCATTTTCCTCACAGCGACAACCCTGTGAGGTGGGTTGCGCTGAGCAAGAGTGACTGGCCCAAGGTCACCCAACCAGGCGTCTGTGCCTAAGGAAGGACTAGAACTCACGGTCTCCTGGTTTCTAGGCCAGCACCTTAACCACTATACCAAATTGGCCCCCCCCCCCCCCGGTTTTGCTAAAAGGTTGGTATTCCTGCCTTTATTTTAAAAAAAAATAATAATCGAATTACTTTAGTTAATTAATTTTTCTTAATTTCAATTTTTAAAAATTTTCTTTAATTAACGTAATATTAGAATTCCATTTACATTGGCGCTGAGAAATTTGGAACTCTTCACCAGTGGAAACCAGGACAGAATTTTTTAAAAATATAATCAACAAACTGGGATGCATGGAAGAAAGGATAAACAATTCAGTTGCTAGAACAGCATTTCTCAATTTTTCAATACTTTTAGTCTTCTGTTTCCTTTACTGTATCCTTTAATGGATGCTATCATTCTGTCTCTTCTATTTCCAGAAGATTGTGGATCTACATTGCCAAAACTGAGTGACCCTTATATTGTCAAGAAGGAGACCTGAGAGATGAGGGGTGCAAAAACAGTCAAATATGGAAACTGTTGGAAGAAGAATATGAGTGACAAACTGCCTAGATAGGTCTGTTCAGTGAGATATGCTTCAAACGTACTTTAAAGAAAGGCAATAGGTTCCAGGGGATGGATCCTAAACTTTCTACGAACAGAAAGTTTAGATAAAGATTTTTGAAATATCTAAATTGTTTTCCCCATAGCTACGTCTTTCATACCCAGCTCAGATTATTATTAAGATGTTGCTGGTAGGATATGAAAACGCTTCTGGTATAGATGTTGGCAGAGTGAACTATAGCGGATGGATGGGTAGCTGAGTAAGTTAGGCAAACATAGCTTTTCTCACAGTATATGCAAGATACACATTGGTACAATGGAATGGTGCTATGCAGCATATGATTCGATTAAACAGGAGTTGAAATCTGAAATAAATATAGGTGCAAAGACAGCATCTAGGAACAGAAACCACTGGTCACTGAAAAACACACTCTTCTCTTAAGCACTGAGCACAATCAATTGCTGCTTTCCATGCCTTCTTCCTGTTACATCAGGAAGAGAGCATGGAAAAAACTTGGAATCAACCTCTCCAGACTGGCTTTCTAATGCCATAAAATATTGCCTTCATATCTTCTACCATGATATATGCACATGACTTATGTGACTGCAGAAGACTTGTCACCTTCTAGAACTAGCATTCATACTAGTGACAATAGGGTAGGGACAAGAAATTCCTAAATTCTTTATATATTAAAACAATTCTCGCCAAAGTTATATCTGAAATTATTGACATTGGGAAAAAATGTTTAATTGTAGGGTAGGGTCCCATACCCGACCCCACACACTTTAAGAAAGGGCTGCAATTCTTACATACATGTAATAGTACTGTGCTTTCTTAATCTACAAAAAGAAAAAGTAAATACATGGTATGCCTGTGCCATAATTAATCTTTTAATGTCTACGCTACAGATAATCTATTCTACATTAATATCCAAGGACAACATTTTGATTCAATACAAGAATAATCATTTAAGCATTCCTTTATCTGAAAGCAATGCTACAAACTGCACAAGAGGACAGTTTATGTCATATCTTTCACCTCCAAACAAAAATTGGAATTTGGCATGAAGTCTGTTTCTTTTCAAAGTAGTTGTTTCCTACAATAATAGATGTTTGATTGATGGCCAATATGACAAGCTTGGGAAATGATACATGAAGATGATTTCCTTCCTGTCTTGGAGGCAAGGGGAAAATACATGCACTGCCAAATTGCTGGGGGGGAAGGGGGAAATCTCTCAACTGGATTTACTCATCACAAATTTTCTCCCCAGGCTGGTGATAGCCAGTGGTCAAAAAACCAAATTCTTAACAAAAGAACTGCAAGAGAAATACAGAAATCCCCAAGGAACCTACTTCTTAGCATTCAGAAGCTCTCTCTCTTCCCTGCAAGCCAATCAAACACGCTGCCTATTATTTTAAATCCCACCCTTCTCCCAAGGAGATCTGGAGACACTCCAGCAGAGGACTTGAGCTAGTTGAAGACATGTGTACAAGACAGAACTTTCTGCATGCAAACTGGGCATGAGGGCTGCTGAAGTCAGCCACATAATACACAACAGCTGTGGAAACATCCACTGGCTTTTCATCAGGCTTACCTATGAGGCCATGCTCTGTACTTGAAGTGACAGTTTTGTAAGTTGCTTCGCTGCTTGTTTTAGCATCCAAAGCCTCAGCTTGCTCTGTTGTGAAGCTGTCCAGTCCTCTTCGTTTTATGGTCCCATAGTTTGTTTCGTGCATGTCTGACAGGGAACTAGATGAAGCCCAGCTTTGCCGAGACTGGTCAAAGTTCATGCCAGTTTTGGGTTGCTGACTACCGTCTGAGTGGCTGGGTGTCTGCAAATGAGTCTCCTCGGGACAGCAGCTGGATGGCTCCACTTCAGCAATGGCTCTTTCTAAATGAGCATGGCGGTAAGAGTTTAAGAGGTCCCACCCCTTCTGGTTCTGGATGTTTTGAAAATTATCATGAGAGTTACTTGAACAAGAGGTCCAGCTTCCACGGCCACTATCTGCTGCTTCTATTGTGAGGTGCTCATGAGAAATCTCCTCGGTGCTCATGGAAGATGGGACAGGCAGCCCTCGGATCGCTGGAGGTCTAGGCAGGGGCCAACTTAAACTGAAGACAGCACAAATTAGAAGGAAAATAAAAATCCGGATGAAAAGAACAGGCAAGCAAGTCAGTAGGGACAGCACCCATGTTAAAGGAAGCCTGAAAAATGTTTATTTGCTTTGTAATTCAAAATAGCAAGAAAATACATTTGGCGCTTCCTTCAACATTTTAAAAATGCTAACTGAATGTGACAATAGTCTTAATCACTGCTTGTCCAGGTATATCTATACAAGATATCTGAACTATTATTTTCTTCTAGATAAGTAAATTGCCCATTTCTGCCATGTCTTCCCAAACTCAGCAAAAGTAATGCAAATAAAGGTTTTTATCTTTTCAGTTCTTTTTTTAAAAAACAGCTTTTTCCAGTGAGAACTGACCAGTAACATTCGTATGTTCCTGTTTGTAAATAACAGAAATATCAACATATTTCTAAACTCATCTTTGTACTTAAAAGATGCCTTAGAAGCGAGCTGGTACTAAACACTTCATTAGGGTTAAACACTTCATCAGGATGCTTATTTTCCTTGCCACAGGCAGAGAAAGTTATCAGTGGAAATGCTGAAGCAAGGTTTGTTGGTACTACAAACAAATAGTAATCCTGAAGAAAATGAGCACAGACACACACCCTGCCCCAGTCCAACAAAAGTGTCTATGGAGAAAAAAAGTGAGATGGATTATTTTGGTTTATGCTTTATATTGTTTATGTGTTGTTTGTTTCTCCATCAGATGACTACCTAGTCTTTCCCCTAGGAGCTCAAGGGAGTTATAGGCTTCAGAATAGCACCAAACTGCAACCAATGCTACTGTATAGTGCTTAAGACGCTTTGCATTGCTCATGGAAAGTTGCAGAAGATTTGAATATCTTAAATGGGTTTTTTTAGGTTGGCCAAAACAGAATAAATGTGCTTCAAATCAGCGAGTGGCAACACCTATGCATACCTGTCAGGAGAGCAATATAAAAAATTAAAGTCAGGGTTATCCCATGCTTCAAAGAATGTTAATTGCATGGGCCTAGGATTTTGTTTCAAGAGAGACCAGGGCCACCAAAAATACTGTAGGCTTTTAAAATCACTGCATTGTTCAGCCTTCTGCTGGCAGCAGTCATAACAGAAGTAACCAGAAGGGTGACTACATATCACAGACATATGCCTGGAAATGCATTTCCTCCTTGCTTGGCAGAGCTATTAAATGGCTGTTGCCAACACCATATCATGTTGTATATTAAACAAAAACACATTTGTCTTTTTAACACATTTGAACACGCTATACCAGAGGGAGTCAGTTTAAATCTCACTTTAATGCATTTTCTTCCACCTACATTAGCCCGCCAGCGTAAGCTTCACCAATATAGAGAGAGTTCTAAACCAGAGACCCTTTCAGCAGAGGCTATGCCTTGCCCTTCTGTAAAGTGCTAATGGCTTTTGAGCAGGCTAATAATCCCCTTGAGTGTGATGACACCACAAGCAGTAAATGGCTTGAATGTAACATCTCAATGATATTGTGCACCAGTCAATTATCACCACCTGCCCTGTGGGAAGGATCTCTGAAGAGGGAAGGAGGCAGGCAAAGAGTGTCTCAGAAGCCTGGATTCTCCCGCCTTCCTATCAGCTGCCCACTAGGAAGAATCCCCAAGGAGAGATGAGTAGGACAGGAGAAGACCACCCCAGAAGCTGATTCAGCTGGACCTTCTCTCACCCTCCTCCCACAGTCCATGGGAGAGACCCTAGAGGTTTGCTAATTTATCCTAAATATCTGTTGTGGGTTTTTCAAATGTACAATTGTTCAAACAGCTTATGAACTGCTTCTTTTGTCCTGAAAGATAGGATATCAATAACTATACCGAAGAAAGGAATGATTCTTACCCAGGGCAAGACTGGTTGTATTCAGGTGGTTGAAAGGGCTCTCTCCTTTCTACTGCCCCAACTGCATCCATCACCATTGTCTGAGGCAGACACCTCTCATCTTGAAGGGCTGCAGACATGGAGTCAGCAGAACAGTTGCTGACAATGCTGGACCGCGAAGAGATCTCACTATGACTGGAGTCGGAAAAATTCTCAGATTTGGCAGACGGGATCAGGGCATAGCCTAAACATTACATGAGAAGATAATATTTAGAGACAATGTACACATTATTTACCACATCACTATTGAACAAAATACGATTTTGTTTGAGAAATTGCTTTTCACCGTTTTACCTCTCTTCTTACTTTCCTTACAAGAGTTTTCATCCTTTGTTTTCTGATACTTCCTTTTGCTCAATGGAAAACAATAAAATACAACAGAATGGAATAATTCCTTCATGAATCCCTTTTAACGTTAGGGGACAAAAACTGCCTTCTTTCACCTGTCTGTTTCAAAGTTGATGTATGTGCTAAACCAACTAGGAAGAACTTTCAAGTGCAGCAAGTACAACTTCTTCAAAAGCTAGGCATACCCGAAGGAAACTTGTTCTCCAGTTGATCAAGTAAAGGATACGGTAGCTAATCAAATCAAAAGCAATGGGCCAGCTGCATACTCAGCAGAGTCAAGCGCATGTGCTTTTTCTGTTGTTTGAACACTTCCTCCCAAAGAAGCAATTCTCTCTGTGCAGTTACATTCTGTACCTTCTGAATTACTTCTGTTTAACCAACATGCTAAATAGCGACATACTGGTTTAGCTGTGCGAGTACAGCCTGAATTCTCTGCAAATTTTGTTTTACCATATCTGCAAACACAGTAAATGTGCTGGGAGATTGTCTTTGTTTTCTGTTTCAAGACTGGATATTTAAGGAAATGGGGAATTATATAGAATTTTAATTTTGTTTCTCATTTAGAATATAGTGAGATTGTTGGAAGTCTATCATCCCATTTGTGACAAACTGTCTGTAACCATCTCATCTCTTTTTCCACTATGAAGATGGTTATATTTAACTTAGGCTTTGTTAGAATAGACTGAGATCTTCTACTAGGTCTTTGGGTGATTTATAATACAACAACAAGGGTTTCTTATTATTAATTGTCCAGCAAAAGAAAAATGTAAAGGAAAAACTTTTGAATTTTAGGCAACAGGAAAAAAAAGGTCATCAATATTTTAATCAATCATTTTGTTTTCCTACTATTTTCAATGATTAAGCAGGCGATAACATTCAATAATAATTTAAAATGTTGCTGGGGAATCTTCAAAATGACATAAAGTGGAGCAACCAGAAAGAAGAAACATTTTAAGCTCCGGTGCTGAAGTACTTCTCTACCATTCCAGCTGTCAGTAAGCTGCCTAGGCCTGGGAAAACTGCATTTATGCAGGTAATTTTGGAGTATTCAGTCTACCAGTCTGAACTGACAATTACAGAGGACAAGAAAGGAATATAATATACATGCACATAAGGAAAAACTATACGAATATAGAAAGTGACTAAAGTTCATTTGAATGTCTACTTTTTCAGCAAGGTTAGTTAAAAATAATTGGAGAGTGAGATATGAGCTACCTTTGTCTATTTCTAGCATTCCTCTAGGAATATATACCCTGGCAAAAACAGTTAATTTTTGTGAACGTTAACATGCTGATATTAAAGATTTTCCTTTACCTGCCAATACAGTTTTAAAAATATGAACATCAATTGTCATTCCATAACAACCTTATAGCTGACACACAGTATACTACAGTGTAGGATTCCTACAAATTTAAGTTGCATTAACTGTCAAGGTGATCTTTTTAAAGCTAAGATCTAGACCAGAACATAGGAGTTTCAACGTTTATATTCCATTTCTCAATTACTTAAACTGAGTCTCAGGTGGAAGTCAATCTCTTATTTGAGATTACAGTTGGAACCCGATTCAGTATTTAAGGAAAATTTCACACTACATACATCACATTTATATTTTTGTCTTTAGCTGATGTAAGAGCAATAGTTTAACAGACCCTGAAGGTATAGAATATAAGAGTCAAACTGAGCATAATATGGAGTTTTGAATGTCTTTTGTTTTTTAAATCAGAAAAGTAGGTGAAATGCAACAAGGTCAGAAGGATTATTTAATGCTCTTTCCTCCTATTGTTGGGCAACTAAAACCACTAGTCTCTCCTGGATCTGCTGTGAACTTCTGTGCCCACCTCCAGACACACCAGCAGGAAATGTTGCCATTCCAAACTATTGTTTACCAGCTGCATTCAAGCAAGACCTCATCATCCATTCAGAGGATCAGGATACCTAGTAATATATTCCTTACCACTCTCTTTCTCTTCCCTTTCACAATATTTTCCTCTTCAGTGATTCTGCTTACCGAGAAGCAATCTAGAATATGAAGTTAACAGACTGCTCTCCTAATGTCTAAGAATATTTTATGTTTCTTATAGTAAGTTCGCTTCTTCTTTGCTTCTGTACTTGAGTGTATATATGTATATCCTATAAAATATTGCTATTCCCGGTTTAGAATGAAATGAAAAGACATTAGCTTATTAATTGAATATGATGAAGGAAAATGTATACACAGCATCTCTCACAGTGGTTTCTCCTAATTAACAGTGCTAAGTTTTAAAAGCATCTTGCAGGCTTGAAGATTGTAGAAAAAAATCCACTACAACATGTACATTATTTCTCCCTTATGCCTTATAACAACCTTCCCCAACCCAACATTCTTCAGATATGTTACAACTGCACCTCATGGAACTCCTACCAACCTGACCAAAATTTGTGGGACAGCAATGGGGAGGGGAAGGCTGTCAAATATTCTTCTCCTACATTCACAAGTTTCTTTTTAAACTTGGGGTACAGAATGAATTTGTAGGTTAAGTGGGAGTGATCACTAAGATAAACTCTTCCTTCCCTTGCGTGTGTGTGTGTGTGTGTATATATGAGAAAAGTATCAAATTTGTCACCACCCATCTTGTTAAAACCGACTCTGGGTGGTTTACAGAAGGGATAAAATCAATTATCAATTGTGCTTCTGATGTTCATAAATGATATTTGTTTCCCCATTAAAAAGTTAATGCGTCCTTAAGTCAATCTCAACGCCTGATGACTAAATTCATGCAGTTTTCTTGGCAGTATTAAAGAGGTCATTTGCTACTATATTCTTCTAAGCTGCATTTTCAATTTCCAAGTCCAACCGACAGTCCTCTGAATCCCATCCAAGTATTAACCAGGGCCAACTTTGCTCAACAGCTGAGATCAACCATGCTCAGCTATATGCTACCACTACTGAGGCAATATACATTTATATCTCATCTGCTGTCTCTGAAAGACTTAATGAATCTATACAATGCTATGATAATCTCAAAAATTAAATTAAATTATTAGAACCAAATAACAAAATCTACTAACTTGTAAGAATTTTCACCATTGGGAAGTAGAACATTAATTAATCATGATTGAGCTATTTTATCAAGTGAGAGTAACTGATTACTTAAAAGTAAGTAAATATATTTATAGTAGTTATTCAGTTGTTATGCCAATATACAGTTTAATATCTACCTATATAACAAACTGTTTTATGTACCTATTAAAATCATATTTGGGATGTGAAATAAAATGATCTGATTACATAGATCATGCAAAACTATTATTTAAAAGTCAAATTACTTTTCTAATCTCCAAACTGTTTAAATTATGCATTATAAATTATACATAAACATTATGTATAACATTATACTATCATTACAATAGCAATTATAGTTTTAAAGCCTTAAAATTTAAAATTTGCCCCTTAGTTAACTACAAAGCACAATTTGAATCTGTATATTATAACTAACTGGGATTTCTAAACAAAATATGAAAAATGACTGATGCAAACTCATGCATGCTTTTTTGAGAATAAATTCTGTGGATTTCATTTGGACTTCCTTCCAAATAAATATAGACACAATCAAGCAACAAGACCTGAATTCTCTACTCAAATTCTATGTCTTTGGCCTTAAATATTTCAAGCAGCATAGCAAATCTTTTCGGCACTGTTTTATTTGTTTCACTAATATAACTGCAATCTGCATGAACTATCTCCATCAATAGACCTGTAAGTGTATAAAAATTGCTTCACAGAAATGACCAACTATGTGACAAAGCAACCACACTCTTATTTGCACAAATGAATGAACTGTATATAATGCCATATAACTGACTAAGGGCTACAAAGAATGACAGTAGAAGCTTATTTAAACCAGAATTTTATATAGCCCATGAATTATTTATTGACTTTTTGCCTGATACACAGAGCCAACCAAGCTCTGTGGTAAAGTCATAACCTGATACTTAAGATGGGCTAAGCTTGGTTAATTAGAAGATAGCTGGAACAATCAGTGCTCAGAGAACAGCATCAGAATTTGTGGCATGGTTTTCTCTAAATCACCTAAAGAGATGCAAATGTTCCCCACTTCTACTAATAGATTTATATTAATATTCAACATGAACAAGATATAGGAAAAATTATTTATCACACTGATATCTATTTCCATATCAAGGGGGGAAAATGAGAATGATAAACAGAAAATATTTAACATCTGTGAAAATAGGTGCATAGCAATGCCATGAGCTGAATGATGTGTCATATTGTCTTCCTTCTTTTCTGTCTCAACTGTGGACACAACCACATCAATGAGCTATTGTTTCCGTGGCCGCTGCCTGTATGCCCCACAGTTCTGGGTCTGTCCCGTTGCTTCTCACTTCTATCCCTCTCTTGCATGCCTGCTGGCTCCACATGATAGGTGAAAGCTGGTCTTTCCCTGGAGATACTCCTTTCCCTGAATCTTCCAAAGGGGGACCCCAGTCTTTTTCTGGGTTTGCACAGAGGCTCAGGCTTGCCTCTGTCATCCTCACTTCCTCTCTTTTCAATACTGACTGATCTTTCAGCTGTCTTGCTAGTCATCTGCTGGATTTTCTTTTGCAAATAAGCCCCACCTATTCCATAGCTGCGGTGTCCACTGTTCTTGTTGCTTGTTTCACTTGCAAGAGAGGAAGATGAACCAGACAGATTAAGCTGGCTGCAGGTATCAGACCTCTGTGAGTTACTAACTACAAAGAAAAGAACACATAAAACAAATCACGTAGTGACAATAAAATGAATGCTTTTCTTTTCTTTAACTTACAAAATGTTACACTTGGATATAGTACAGATGGATATACAACCCTGAAGTTAAATAAATAGTGACAAAGCTGTGGATGTTTCGCTAGTTAAAGGATAGATCATCCAATTTTAGTTCTGTAATGAGATGCTAACCAGAGCAGGGGCTATTTTTGGCAAACCAATTCTATTCTTAAAGGGAAAAATCCTTTAAGGGACAAGTAAAAAAAATACAATCAGCCAACAGAGGCAAAATAATAACCTTAGAAGTATAAGAAAGTAAACCAAAAGACATGTTCACAGAGAAGAATTCCAGCAGGAGTAAAGTTTGGCAGTCCCAATGATATGAGACTTGCCAACTACTCAAAGAAAAAATATACACAAAGTTCTCTGGATTTTATGAAGTGAATTCGTTTTTTAAAGCACGCAGAAGAACACATAGCAGTATTAGAAAGATATTCCAATCAATAACAAATGTATCTGTAATTAGGAATTTATCCAAGGCATTAAACTCCAAGCTCAATCATAAAATATACTGTGCAGTATTTTAAAACACTTATATACACCAGGTTTTTCATGAATGTATTAAGCTTATTTTGTTTTCCACAGTTAAAATATGGCTCATTATGAATGCCTAAAATATCTTGAGTGTACTGAAGAAAAGAACACAGAGCCAGCCAGACAAACTATGATGCAATATTAGGACTGAGATCACTCTTACTTTTGCGTGGAGACTCCTGAGGAGAAGCAGGAGGACTGGAATGCAATGATGATGCCACAGAGACGTCATCTTCTCCCTGCTTTTTACTACTTGGTTCTTCGGATAAACTGAGTGACTTCTGAGGAGAACCTGCACCTATGAATGAAATAGAAAACAAGACAATGTTTATGCTCATAATTCAGACTGGAATATACCTACAAATAATTGTTTTGTTTTATTTTGTTTTCCCAAGATATTGAACATTCTCAAACTGAAATCATTTTTGAGCCCTTTCATCTTCAAATTAATCTGATCAAGACATAATTTTGTGGAAAACCCCCCCAGTAAAATATGATAACGTTTATATATTTACAGAATTGCAAGATACATAACATAAATGAGTCATATTCACTCTTAGTACTAAGAGTTTATGTAGTGGGTTGTAATTAAAAGAATCTTACTTAATTTGGCCTTTTTTAAAAAAACACTGAAGAAAAAAAAATTGACCAACAGAAATCCAGACCTCAGAAGGGTTAACCAAATAGTGATGTTGTGATGTAGTGATGTAGCTCTCCGTACTTCAACATCTATTATCTCTACATGAAAAAAGTGGCACAAAAGTGGTACCTCCTCCACCCCACACGCAACAGTTAATAGAATTAAATTATTCTGTAACTATTTGATGCCCCTTATTCTGAGCATCTTTTACCATGTTAAATAAGAAGGTTGGTTGCAGTTTAATTTGCCTTATGAAAGGAAGTTACTTTTGAAAAATTCTGTCCAAATACAATTGCCTCATGTCAGTCATTTCTCCATTCTTCTTCCTGCCTCATATCACTTCCCTTCTCTTAAACTAAGTGGAAACCAAGCAGTTGTTCTTGATGACACTATGCTCGAAAATTCCTGGCCAGGAGTTGCTTGACAAAGCAAAAACCTTACAAGCAGCTATCAACAAAGCCACATACTAGTCATATGCAAATAAAAACAACATCATCATCATTCAGGTTGCATGACATTAAGCAACCTTGGCTGCCAGAAAATATCGAAGTAGACTTTAGGGAAGCGTCCAGTTCTGAATGGCATTTGCCATTTGACTGGGAGACTGAAGAATGGGAAGATACTGGCTGTACCATTATTAAACTCATTCTGGGAATGGTCAGTATTGTGTGCTACTTTCTCTCCTCTCCATATATAATACCCTCTACTTGCTATCCCAGCACTATCCCAGCACTTTGGAAATATAGTTTGGAAATATATTACTCATATTCCTCTCAAATGATTCCCAGTATAATTTAATTGCAAATCAAATTTTATATGTAACTGGGAACTGTTTGCTTTCTTCCAGCTGCAGCCATAACATGAAAAGGGACACTACTGCAGGAAAGGAAGAAAAGTCCAAATTAGATTTACCCGATTTTGAAAGACAAAATGCTTTCAGAACTCTTCCAGGTTGCATTTTTTCAAAAACTATTAAATAAAGACATGCAGAAGATTTGGGTTTATGGGATTATCACCATATACAGTATTAGCCCATTTGCCTAAATCTATGATAATGAATCAAAAGGGTAAGACATGCATGTATGTGCTCAGAAACAGTTTTATATATTTACTGGCCAGATGAAATAACTGTTGGTTACTAGCATAAAATAAAGTCTCCATCAAGGCTCACGGTGATCTGACAGTTAATCCTGGACATAATCTGTAAACCTCTTTTTCTAGAGCCCAGATACATTTCAAGTCAAAGAAGACAGAAGATACTTATACACAATGCAGATTAAAAGTGCAGAGAGTGAAACTGCCAAATTGCAAGACTAGATTCAACTTTAGTCAGACTTTCTGAAAGAAGTTAATTTTTCTGAATATTATGTTATGTTTCGATATAATGTTTTTATTAATATATATTTTATTATACTTTTAAGCCACCTAAAGAGAACAGTGTAGATAAAACACTCACTAAAAGCGACATGGTCTTTTGCTGGTCCTTTCTTCCGAATGGGGTACAGATTAACTGCTGGAACCTGAAGAACTTGACTCATTCTGTTCTGCTGATGTAAGTGGGCTTTTGTGGTTTGGCCAACAGACCTCAGTGGCATTGGAGACATCTCTGAAGCTTTTGTACCTCGTCTTTCACTTAAATTTTTTGTCACTGACATTGTGAAGAAAAGGAATAATTGTCTCTTTAACAGACCCAAGAATCACAATTAAGATATTAAAATGGGTGCCTATTGAAATAGTAAATGACATGTTGAGTATAGCACTTCTGGATCCAGTTATACAAAGAGTCGTGCCCCCAAAATCAGTGGAATATATCACAACTGTGATTAAATGGAGCCCCGAGGGCTATAGGTCCACTCTACCTATAACTAAATTTAAATGCAGTCTTTTGATCTGAATGCAAAATTAAGACATATACTCATTCCTCAAAAGGTATATCCATATTTCCACTAGGTGGCATACTTAACTCACAGCAAGTTATTGTATTTTATTTTTCATTATAATATAGGTGCTAACATATTGAATTCTGTGCTACCAACAACAATGCCATGCCCTTCTTATTGCTAAAGGACTAATTCTTTAACACTGGAAAGATAAAATTACAGCCCTAAGTACTAAGTGGATTGAAGAACTGATGTTAGTGCAAGTTATGAAGAAGCTGCTGATAAATATAGAGTATAAATGGATGACTACAATGAAATATTCATCCTTTACTGAACCTTATACAAACAGCAGAACATCAAGCAAAGTTACTTCCAACAGTATTTCCAACAAACTGGATAGTAACCATGTAATGCTTGATGCTCTGTCATTTGCATAAAACTAAGTAATCTCCAAAATTAAATATCAATTGTGCACTCAAACATTTTTGCACTTCTGCAGTTCTTTATCTAGAAACTGAAAACTACAATTTGGAATTAATCACCCAAATGTAAGCTTATTATTACTGTAATATACATGCATGCATTCTAAATGTCAAAGTGAAACCTGTTACTGATTGTAATACTATTTACATATTAAATCTATGTTCATAAGAAATCTAATTTTCCTATTTTGCATTATAATGATATAAATAATGTTCTTTTGTGATGATATTTCATCCTTTCCTTTTCTTGGCATTCATATTATTCCTTAATTCTGCAAAGTGCTAACTTGGCAAAAGTCCAATGTACTAAGAGAATTTTGGCAAACACAAAGATTAGTAGTAGAAAAGAACTTTTTCAATTTTATGCAAACTCAATCAAAACTCAAATAATTACATGCTAATACAGATCAGGCCTTTTCAGAAAATTCTCTATAATATTCTGTTTTAAACGATCCTCATATTCATTTAGTGCAAACATCAACTCTTCCAAACTATTTTTTTTTTTAAACTTACAAGTGCTGTATGTGGGCTCACACTGAAGTGACATTATCTGGATTTTTTCTTCATCTGTTTCCACGTTGAGGTTGGATAGGTACTGTTTGACTTTCCTGGCCATCTGAGCATCTTCATACAACTTTTTTGCATTTAAAAGGGAGCTGCGCCGAGCACGTTTTTTGTGAGCACCTCCTTGAACATCCAACATGTTTGAATTTGTGCTACCCTGACTCAGTGACCTGAAAAATAAGACAGCCACTGTGTTTTAACTTTGCTTTGATTATGAGGAATCAAAGCAGCAAACACTGAAGCAAAATGTTCTTCTATTAAAAGCGCATGCTGATGTCAAGTTAAAAAGAGATGGAGTGTTAACACATTTGTTGTAAAGTAACTTGCAAAACTGGTAACAGAATTAATACACCCAGAAAAAAAAATATTAAATAAAGTGTGCAATAAACAAAAACTGGGCAAAATACCATATAAGTTCCTGCTAATGAATGAAGCTAGGGTCCTTTTAGACTTGAACTGAAAATCTAAATATGGAGTTAAGTTTGTAATGGGAGATGAATTTCTCAGTTTTTCTAAATTCAGTGATATTAAAGTAATCTGGCCCAGGAGGTTGAAGTAAGTGCAAAATGATTATTGTATTACATTTCCTTTCCACTCTTTTTCTGAGCTTGAGAAACTGAAAAGACAATATACTATAAATGTCATAATCTCAAAAACAAGGAGAAACTTCTTTACATTATATTCAGTTGCTGGTAACAATACTCTGCATAACAGTTACAAAGGTTCACTATTTTTAACATCTTTATGAACAAATTGAATGGTATTACTGTCAAGAAGGATTAATTTGAGACTTTCCTGAGGATTGCTATAATTTACTACTCTGTTTCTCAAAGGAACAAGCATATTTGCTGTGATGAACAGATTTATGTATGAAAGACCTATGTGTGCTACTGGACAATTTTCTTTGTTATTTTATGCCAATTGTCAAGCTTTGAATGGAGACTTTATGTTGAAGTTCAATGGGGGAAACTGCTGGAGGGAAAGTAAGTACAAAGTCATTCAGCTACATGTATGGATTGTGATCTGTGCTTGTAGAAACAGCATAATGTTTTAAAAACAGGCATGTTATGTCCCTAAAAGGGCTTTGTCTTCAACATTAATACCTATTCTCATTGTATCTGTAATATAATCTGGACACCTTTGGATATAAACAAGCTTTATTACTTTTAAAGAAATGTACTTTCACAATTCCCAATCCTCTACTTTTTTATTATAAAGTACAACTGGGATTTAACCTTGGTCAGTTTAAACAATATAATTAATATTAAATACTTTAGTAGTACTCAGTATGAGCTGTGGTAACACTGATTCTCTACCAGCAACCCCTACATCTTTTGAAACCCAACTATAAAACATGAAGCTTCTTCAACAAGATCCTGAAATTCAGCAAAGGGAATTGCTAGTACTTGCAGAGGGCAACATGCCCCAATTATATGGCAAACAATTAATGTTCTTCATATTTTTCTAGCAAGAGTTTGAAAAAAATATGTTTAACATTAAATAAAGCCATCTATTCCAAGGTGGTAAATAAACAGTTATTAAAAACTATAAACACATGTATTTTAAAGAGGGCATAAATATGAAAACTTCACACTAATGAGGCCGAAAAAGATGAATCTGAAGTTTTTCCTCCTTTTCTTAAAGACAAGAGCAAGAGAAAAAGAATGAGTAATAAGTGTTCTGGTAAGTTGCCAAAGTTCTCTAAATTACAATATAGGAATGAAGAGGGATTTAGGATCTCTGTCATACAATGCAATAGAAGGAGGGAAGTAAAACTAAAAAATGATTGATTTCTAGACAGTAAAGCTGGGGAAAGCTGAGAAGAAAATGCAAAACAAGGGAAGGAGAGGAGCAAATATCAGGTTGTAAAGTATGAGTTTCTGATATGATATAAATTAGATCAAATAAGAAAGAAGTTTCTTGTTCCTTTTGATAAAAGTAATTGAAGTTTCAGGTGTACTCAGACTTCTTGACAGGTAAGATTCTTATAATAATTTATAATTTATAATAATGCTCATGTAAGGTCTACCATGTGCCTCAAAATGCACCTTGGAGTATAGTTATTATTACTTTCTGATATGTTTATACAATTCAAAATTAAAAACATAATATTAAATATAAATATATTGCAAATTCATCAACCAAAATTATCTTATCTTAAAATGTGTATGAAAGAGATTTTCAAACTTTGGAAAGATTTATTTCAGCACTGCAGTATTTCAATGGCATATCCTCTGAAATACTTGTGCTGAACTACAGATGACAGAAGATTTTGTAAAGGTAAAGATGTATGAATCTGAACTATGGGAAGGAAGAAAGGATATTGAAATAACAAGGAATACTGAATAAAGTTAATACACACAATGGAGCAATGGGTTTAAATAAATGCAAAATTGTAACGTTATAAAATCTGATTGCTAGTTTATTAACATTAGAAGAGCAACAGGTTTAGAATGTTGCACTCATTTATCATAAAGAGTTTCACAAACCACAAGATGAAAAGGCAAAATATGCAAACAATAACATTCAAGATTATAAATCTGTCTTATCTAAAATATGCTATAAATACATTGTGGATATATTTTAACATCTCACCCACTGAAAATTGGCAAGTATACTTTTCTTAAAACAATCATATTATTAAGCTCATGCTCCTTAATTCTTTCAAAGTAACCATTGATACTTGAAGGAAATGGCATGTTGTCCTTCATTTTCCTACTCTAGGCAATCAAGAACAAATAACTATTCATTCTCTGTGACACCCTCTACCTCCCCTTTAAGGAACACAAAGTACTGTATTATAAAATACAAATAATCTAAAGAAAGTTCTCACTAAGCTATGCTTTAGTGAGAAGTAAGTGATTGAAGACTCTTTGATGTACATCCAGATGGTCCTAGAACAGGATCCATTGCATACTATTACGTCAGGATAGCAAAAGGACTAAAGTGAATTGGTCACTGCATCATTAAATATGCCTTCAAGATGTGGAGTACATAAAGTAATGTTTCTGTTACTTTATACAGAGATGGAAAGAAAAGTCCCTAAATTCACACACATAATAGACTGGAGCTTATTCTCTTTTCCATGCAAGCAGCATGGCTGAATTTCATAAATACTGCCGAACGCCATAAACATGGAAATAGCATTTCAGATGTGCTTCTTGCAAATACATTAGGAAAGGAATTTATGGTGACTAATTGGAATTCCTATGTGTTTTGGCAGCCTCACTTCCCTAATGGCAATGGTTGAACTAGCTTTAACTAAACTTCCACAGAAGCTTCTTATGCCAGAGCCATACATGGCTTCTGAAAATACTTGGCTTAATCTGTGGGGATTGGGCATCTCTCAAAAAACTTCAATACAGATCATCCCTGGCACGTCTCATGGTAACAACATTTAGTCATTGCTTTTCCATTCCTAAGCATTAATCAAGCTTATTTTTCAAGGAAATCTTAAACTATGGAATTTCTCTGAAATTCAGGCATGTGTTAGATATTCATTAACATGTTTGTAAATGTGTGGTCTGTGTTTTTTAAATCTTTAACCAACACTCAGAATAAATCAGCTGTCAATAAAACCATTTTATTTGAGCTTAAGTTGGGCTAATTTCAAGAACTTTAAAATAAATAAAATCACTATAATTTGCATATAATATTGATTTTATTAATGAATGGGTTCCAATTTGTTATCATAAACCTGTTTTATCTTAAATTTGGAAGTAGTTAGAAAATACTATTGCAGGGTTAATAAAATGCATGCTGTTGTTCAGATGCATGCATTAATGATGATGCAGAATGTTAAAAATTGCATAACTTCACTTAAAGTCTTAGTTGCATTAATCTCTGCACTTACCCCAAACTCCTCCACCTCTTCTTCCTGTAAGCAAGAGCCATATACAATGAAGCATGTATTTAAAAAAGAAAGCAAAGGGGGGGAAATCACAGTTGAGAATCAGAAAGGAAAAGAATGTAGACAGGAAAAATAAATGAAAATTTCAATCAGGTAAAAACACTTCTCAAACCAGTGAAACAATTCTTTCAATGGGATACAGCGACAAAACTTGTTAGAATACATGGTGAACACAGAAACATATAAAACAAAAGAGTTGGGCTTTAAAAGACCATGTTTAGGGAACAGGACAACAGGCAGAGGAGCCTCCAGTTAAACTTGCATATAGTTTTCTAGAATTCGTCTTTTTTTCATTGTTCATATGTAGAAAGTTGAATTATATCTCAAAGGTAATGAATATTAACTATTTATTTTGTTTAGCATAATTTTAGACATAACAGTTCTATTTTTTTTAATGTACTGGGTTACATATTTAATGAAAAAAATGGTTTAACTTGGACATGCTGGGTTATTTTCTAAGTTGTGCAAGATACAGTCCGAATCTAAAATTTCATACATTGCAATTTACTAGCGATATAATCATTCAGACCTTAATGCACATACTGAGAATTAACAGAACACATGTTTGCTTTCCATTCACATTTTCATAATGGTTAACAATGAAATTAAACAAAAAATAAATATACAAATACAAACATACAATTATTTACATCCCACACGTTTCTATTTCAAATTCCATACCTTTGTCTGAACATTACAGCAGGATCCATGTTAGCAGAAGTCATTCTGACCACCTGACGTATCTCTTTAGCAATCATTCTCAGTTTCTCAAAATTTACCAAACCATCCACCTTTGAATCATTTCCTGTAGAATTAAAATAGGTGGGAAAAACTTTTAAGACTTTTCAAAATACTTCTGAGGCTGACAGGTTATTTCTTTTATATATCAAAATTCATTATTACATGTTAATACTCTGGAATGCAAGCAAGAAGTTGCAAGAAGCTTTAAAACAAAGGAGATATCCACACCTTTTTTTTAAAACACCAGCAGTTGACAGCAGAAAGTGCATGTAACAATAGATCTGAACTCCCTTTGAATTTTCAACCATAAAAGGATTGTGGAACTGATAGCAAAGGAGTTATCTTAATTTCTACCCCTACTTCCTAGTCTGGGAAAGGGATATTTATTTTTCCCAGAGTTTTCAACTTTTTCAGTCTGAGAATCAATTCTTAAATACAAATACAAAATGAGGATTTTTTTTCATTACACACAGAAACACATACTTCATTACCCATCTGAAAGCTAGATTATCAGGTGGAAAGGAAGGCAACATTCCTTTATTATAAATGTTGCATATAAAGGGAGATCCTGGCAGTGTAGTACGGCACATTGCATCTTATAAATATTTCTCTTCACAGATATTCACCAAAAAACAAACTCTATCCTATGTTATATATAATCAACATTTTCTTCCCTTTTTTTCCTCTCATCCCTCTACCTTTTATAATACATACATACAAACATACATGCATACATACATACATACATACAAAAATAAAAATCCTTTATGGCTTGGTACTCGATTATCTATAAGACAGCATCTCTCCACCAAAGTCAGTTCAATCATATTGAGAGGGAGGGAGAGTTTGAGAAAGGAAAAATAGATATCATTCATTATTCAATTTGTAAAATACGGCTAGCAATAGAGAAGAATAGGATAAATGCAAGCAAACATAAGAAATATACAGATGCAAAACAAGTAAAATTAATTCCTGGTATAACCCACCTTCTCCTTTTTCAAATTACGTTGTTCAACAAGTCAACCGCTTTATCATGGGCAGATATATAAATGTGTTAAATGAACAAATAACTATTCCTGGGCACTTTACTAATGGATTTTATTCTGTATTGGTCATGATTTTATACTGAATTCCAGTTTATAGATTTTACTGGATGATTACTGTAATACTTATTTGTCAGTGAGAATTGCTATACATACTGATTACTATCATTATCTAAGAGCACAAAGAAAATACAGGTCACAATGAAAAAATTAATAAGAATCATTCATTTAAAATAATGCAGTATCCATCCATCCATCCATCCATCCATCCATCCATCCGAGTTCTACTCTCTCTCCCCTCCTTTTCAACATCTGTATGAAACCACTGGGTGGGGTCATCTGCATCATCGGTTTGGGGTTTGGGGTTCAGCATCATCAGTATGCTGATGATACTCAGCTGTATCTTTCGATCCTGGCCAGTCAAGTGAGGCTGTCAAGGTTCTGTCCCAATTCCTGGAGGTTGTATAAGTTTGGATGGGAAGGAACCATCTCCAACTCAATCCTACCAAGACCGAGTGGCTGTGGGTGTATACATGGGGCTGCCTTTGAGGACCACCCAGAAGGTTTAACTGGTCCAGAATGTGGCAGCACGATCAGTAATGGACATGCCTCGGTATGCCCATGTAACATCCCTGCTTTGCTAGCTGCACTGATTGCCAATTTGCTTCCTGATGCAATTCAAGGTACTGGTTGTTACTTTAAAGCCCTACATAGCATAGGGCCTGGTTACTTGAGGGACTGCCTGTCCCCCATAACATCTGCCTTATCAATTTGATCCTGCAAGGTTGGAACACTCCAAGTTCCTTTAATTAAACACTGTCATCTCTCAGGACCCCAGAAGCGCACCTTCTTTGTAGCAGTGCCTGCTCTCTGGAATGAGGTTTCCCCCACTCTGCTATTGTCTAGAAGAGCTGTGAAGACCTGGCTCTTCACCCAGGCCTTCTGCGAAAGAGAGTGAGACCCCTCACTCATTTTACTTGCCATGTTTTTTTTTTACTTATTTTACATTACTTATTATGTTTGATTGTAATTTTTTTGTCTGATTGTTGTGAGCCATCCAGTCGTTGAGAGTTTAAAATAACAAATAATAATAATAATAATAATAATATTATTATAACTATTATTATTATAACTATTATTATTATTATTATTTTCCATAGGTTATGGTAGTCCTCTACCTGTAGTGGAGAGGTAGAAATTCATTTTTGGTGGGCCATTGGGCTTTAAAATAAAAATACTGAATACATTCTAGTTTTAGAATGTTATTTTTAAATATCAGTTTAGTACTATAAAGCTCAATACATTTTATCTTTTTTTGTGTGTCCAGACTTGCCTTCGTGTAGAAATGTAATGTCTTTCTTGACAACTGGAAATAATGGAATAATTGGAGGCTGCATGCTCTGGCTACTAAGGATGTTGCGATACTTTGCCATGTTCCTAGATGGATCAAATAGATCCTGAAGATCTCTAAGGTGTTTTTCATATTTGCTTGGTAACTTTTCCCATGTACCTCTGAGTCGAGCCACTGGTGCCAGATTAAGTCCACTGCAAGAAATTATTCAATAGTTAGTATTTTAAGTATTAAAGACTCACATACTTTTTCAAAAAAACGTATACCTTTAAAACAGCAAATTTTTAACAAAAGCGTACATGCTCCAAATACGTTTGCATTGGAAAGCCAGCAATTTCTCCCCACAATTCTTAGGGAAGAGTATTTCCTAGAAAACTACTTACAGGAATCCCTCTGGGCTTTTAGGAAATGACTTCTTGCACATCAGCATTTGCTTAGATATTGTATAGCAACTGAAATGTGGTGTAGCACCAGCACAATATAACAACCATTCTCCTTTCTCCTTACATAACTGTAGTAGAGTACAGATTTCCACCTCCGGCTGCAGTTAATGTTACACTGGAGGTGATAAACCACAGCTAAAGTTATCTTGGATTAAGGAAACTCTGGTTAGCCTTAACTGAGATAAAAACTCCTGCCAAGATATTATTATTTTGTGTCTTCAAGTCAGTCTTGACTCCTGGTGACTGCCTGGCCAAGTCCCTGCAGTTTTCTTGGCAAGGTTTTTCTGGAAGTGGTTTGCCATTGCCTGCTTCCTAGGGCTGAGAAGGAGCAACTGGCCCAAGGTCACCCAGCTGGCTTTGTGCCTCAGGCAGGACTAGAACTCATGGTATTCTGGTTTCTAGCCTGATACCTTAACCTCTACACCAAACTTGCTCTCTTGCCAATGTATACCTTATAATTAAAAACAGTGGTGAGAATTTGTGTCCCAAAGGAAGATGACAGGGAGAATAGTGTACAAAGCTATGGCTTGTAATCTCTGGAATACCTAATCATATTAAAACATTGGCACTATTTATCTATAAATGATTTCTACCAAAACAAAAACTAAGTAGGTCTGATTTGAAAACGTTAACACTCTTTCGAGTCAAGCTCAACTTCTCATGATTACATGGTCATGTCCATTTTTTTGGCAACAGTGTGGAAGATGTTCTGGGATTTTTTTCCCCCAGTTTCCCAGTCTAGCCCACAAACCCATACAGGTAGTCCTCGGGTTACAATGGCAGTTCGGACTGGAATTTCCATCGCTAAGTGATACGGTCATAAAGTGCAATGTCATGTGACTGCATTGTTTAGCAATGGAATCCTGGCATTCCCGGTTGCCGTCGTAACCCCAGGACCACACGGGTCGTTAAGAGGCAGGAGTCCCAGGCAAGGAGCACATGGGGGTATGTAGGTGCCACAGACAGGCACTAAGGAGTGCAGCCAGGTCAACAGGGCACAGGTTGGCCAACGGGGCTGCAGGCAGGGACTATGGAGCATAGGCAGGTCGGCAGAGGCCATGGATCGGCAGGGGCTGCGGGCGGGCGCCATGGAGCACAGGGAGGCTGACAGGGGCTGCAGGTGTGCTGGGGGGTGCTGCAGGCAGGCGTGCTACAGAGTGCAAGCAGCTGGAGGTGTGCTGAAGGTGGGTGAACACTACAGGGCTCCTCAGGAGAAAAAGCAGCAGGAGCAACTTATGGGAGTGACTTGCGACCTTCTCATTGACTTTGCTTGGGGGAAGTCAGCAGGGAAGGTCACAAATGACAATCACGTGACCATGGGACACTGCAACCGTCATAAGTGCAAGCTGGTTGCCAAGCACCCGAATCATGATCACATGACTGCAGGGGTGTTGTGACAGCTGGAACTTTGAGAACCAGTTGTAAGTACCACTCGTTCAGCACCATTGTAACTTTGAACAGTCACTGAACAAGTGGTCGTAACCTGAGGACTACCTGTATTTCCTGGTGATCTCCCACTGAAGTACTAACCAGCCAACTCTGCTTTTCAAGGTCAGCCAAGGTTGGCTCAGTACTGCCACCTGCTGGGACTATTACTGTTTGAGAAGGAAAAATCAAACAAAAACCGTTATGGGCCTGCAAATGGATGTACATATTTCTACTCCATACATCTAAGTATCTACAGCTACATTTTAAAAAAATCTAAAACTTCACTAATAAATATGTATTAAGCTAACAAGTTCATCTTATGTTTGTCAATAACTTTTCAGTTTCTTAGACAAAGTCTACAATCTTCAAATCTCAAAAGTACTCCACTTATATTTCAGTGTTATGCTACTCTGAAAAATAAAACAAAATAACCAACCTAATAACAGCAAACATAGAGTTGAAATTCTTGCATTCTCTGCAATGGAGAGCAATTTTTATGAAGTGTTTTACAATCTTCATCCTTTTCAGCTGATTTGCTTCAGATAGAATTTCTGTAGCGACCCAAAACGTCTCTTGATTAATAACGTCCTCAAATTGTTTCAGGTTAGTATTTCCTGTTTTAGACTCAAGCTTATATAAATCATCAATATACTCAGTAGGCTCAATGTTTCGAAACAATTCAAAGTCTCTCATTGAGAGCTGAGTAGCTACTTCAATAGTACTCAGCTGTAAAAGTGAGATTTGGCTCTCTCTCAGCAATTCTTGAGCATCTTCATCTGAGCACAGAGTCTCTGTTTCCATATTATTTTTCAAATAATACCTAAAAGCACAGTGAAAGAAGCATGTATAATTTAATACAGAGTTAACAACTTTGCAGAATTCTAGTCCCATGTAATAAAGATACTAATTTACAAAAGGGAAACTGATACAGTTTTTCCACTGAAGGAACTGCATTTATCAAAGACAACATATTCCCTTTTTACCCAGCTGCCCTCTGCAACCCTTCAAAATCATTGTGGAGGTTAGAAGCAGATTTGTGGAATGAAGGAAAGGATAGGAGAAAAGTTCATTAATACAAATGGAGAGGTTCGATTTCACCCCAAACCCTTGGTTCTATTGAATTATTTTTGCACCATTACTTTTCATCACGAGGCATTTATATAAATTACTGATATAAAATATGGTTGACCTTCCACAAAAACATCTGCTATCTGCACTACTTTTCCACAGCTACATCTATGCTCTGGGAATTGTTTTTAAAGTAGACTTTTCATTTTCCCAGAAACCATGTTCCTTTTTGGAGGGCATTAATGTAATCTTAGGGTAAAGGCTAGGTTAGGTCAATATGTTTATCTGTAATGTAGTATTTTGCAGCTGCTATTTTACTGTTATTGTGATTGTTTATAGTTCTATGTTGCGAGTTATTTATATTTTAATTATGAAATATCTATTTATGCAACACTATATTTTTACTTTTCTAATTTAACAATCTGGCAATTATGTATCATATCAAAGGCAATAAAATCTGTTCACAGTAAGAAATGTTAACTCTTTTCAGTATTCTTTCTTCTCTATCTCAATTATAAAATGAAATATTTACCTCCCATTGAGCTGAATTCGGTCTGCTAGCTTTGAGAACTGGTCGGGAAGTCTTCTCTGTTTGATGACTCCTTCAGTGCTCACAGAAACTTCGCACAGAGAATAGGTCTCTGGGGTTCCTGTCAAATTGAATTCATGTACTGCGTGGCTTACAACTTCTTTTGCTGTAGTGTCTTTGCTGATGATAATGTAACAACTCTGTTGATCAGCTTTGAAGACTCTTATAACCTGATCAGGAATGTCTGAGTTTAAAACAAAAGAGTTAACATGTTATTTCCCTTCAGTGGATAAAGTATTTTTTCTATTTTTAATTTTACCTATTTCTTTTTTGGCATTTATATAAAATTAACTTGCAATAAAATGATATTTTCCATAAACATATATTTATTATTTTGTTCTTGGATAAAGCACCTGGACCTTACGTTGTATGTCATTTCTCTGAGATTTAAGCCCTTTTAAAAAGACTTTAAAAAGCCTATAACTATTTTGGATGTTTTGATCCTCTTAATGGCTATCAACTAGGTTGCTGTTTATCTGATGCTTTGCTTTATAATGCTACCAAGGAAAGAACTGTTAATTGTTGACCTGATGTGGATTATGAGAAGAAATAAGTATCTCATAAATCAATAAAGCTTACTAAAATTCAGGTATAGTGTATTGATTGCTTTTTCCTTATGGGTAATTCATTCTTTGTTAAACAGCATTGTTACATGATACACCGTCTGGTTTGGAAAATCCAACCAAGAGAGGGCAATGGTATATAATTTAAATGGAATTATATTTATTTTCTTCTAATATGTCTATCCTGAACATATATGCATACACAAACACAGCAAAAGACTGGATTTATAAAACAACCTTTACAGAATGAAACACAAGAGCCAGGCATAACTCTATCTCAGAACCTGATTCAATTATGCCGAGAAAACACAAGGCTGAAAACTATCTCACTGTATTCTTTCAGTTGCAGATTGGGAAGAAAAGAGAATCATATTCATAATCTCTATTCGTATAAAACAATTTCCCTACATACAGGAAAACAATTACTTAGAAGGGTAGACTAAAAATCTCTTTTCCTGACATGGTAGCTTTAAAAAACACACACGCACACACACAGAGCAACATTGAACTCTACCATCTTAAATAGTCTGTGAAGCCTTTAATATACTAATATTAAAATATTCACATTTTAAAAAATACCCCACCCATCACATTGTCACTGATTGGGATACTTACAGTAAAAGCCAACTGCTGCAGAATGAAAAAAGGGGGGAAAGTCAGAATCTAGATGTTATGCCATGAATAAACACATTTACATAATTCCTTGTATTAAAAATCTAAGCGTGTGTGTGTGAGTATATATATTAGATAAATACAACAAGGACAACTGTAATCCATTTGGTCAATGTGTAAGTTAAAACTTGTTACATAAATTATAATGCACACATAGTGTTTGTGCGTGCCTTTGAGTCAGTGTTGGCTCCTGGCAACTGCCTGGACTAATCCCTGAAGTTTTCTTGGCAAAATTTCAAGAGTGGTTTGCCATTGCCTCCTGCCAAGGGCTGAGAGAGCGCGACTGGCCCAAGGTCACCCAGCTGGCTTCATACCCAAGGCAGGACTACAACTCAGTCTCCTGGTTTCTAGCCTGGTGCCTTAACCACTACACCAAACTGGCTCTTATGCATGCATAAACCCATGCCATAAATGGTGCTGTAATGATATTTAAAGGTAAAAATCTAAACAATATACAGAAACACAAACAATACCCTAAGCCTTTTTTAGAAGTGGATCCCTCCTCCTTCCCTCCCTCTCTCTCTCTCTCTCTCACACACACACACACACACACACAATAAATTTGCCAGGAATCAATATGAAAAGAGTTTAAATCAGACATAATGAGACAAGAACAAACTGATATATATTTGGGAATGAATTTAGATGGGAGCTCACAAGCTTGCAGACCTTTATTAAAGTAAAATTATTGAATAGCCTCTAGAGCAGAAATTATCTAACGCCATGTGGCTTGTTATAAACTAATAATTACGAATTAAATTGACTGGTTCATTTGTCTGTTTTAGGAAAAGTGCCTCCCCCTTGCCATGCTGTATAGCAGTGTTTCTTAAACTTTTTTCTCTCAGGACCCCTTCCTACTTTTAAAAACTAATGGAGGATCCCAAAAGAGCTTTAGTTTCCATGGGTTATGTTTACTGATATTTACTGTATTAAAAATTAAAACTGATGCATTTGCTGCCACTACCACTTCTCACAATTATTTGATGGGATGTTAATATTGTATTAATTTTCAACGTAGGCTGGCAAATAATTTTGATGTTGCAGACTGCTGACAGGCTCTTGTGGGACCTCCAGTGGTCCTAAGACCACACTTTAAGAAACACTGCTGTATAGCATGAGCAGGAAACCTGTAGCCCTCTGATACTGGGGAAGCAGAACTTTCAATAATGAATGATAAGGCATGGTTGACCAGCACCATCTAGCAGCCCACAGGTTCTTCCTTTCCAGATTAGGCATTTTGTGATATAATGTACTTGCTTTTAACAAAACATTTTACATAATTTAGTTTGTTACAGGTACCAGCGGACACATAATATCATATTTTTCAGATTCTACAAATTAAGTACAGAGTGCACCAAAAGTCAGTCCCATAAACAACTGATTATGTAAATTACATTAAATGTTCAAATTGGTTGTCATTTTCTTCTACGCACTTTATTTTTTTGATGCATAACTGTTGAACATTCCTAAATACAGTAATATTTTTTCTGAAAAACATATTAATAAAACACATTGTGATTGGCCTATGGGGTCTGGGTTTTGGTACAACCTGTAAATTAAAGATATTAGTAATTATATATGTACAATTCATTTTTCCTACTAAATTCATAAATTTAAACATAAATTCTGTTTAAATCTCAGTGTATTTTATTCTTGTTATTACTTAAGTACAGAGTACTGACATTTCTAAACATGCTGGAAAAGATTATGTAGCTATGGCTTGTCCAGATTTACAACGATGGATCAAAGCCACAAAGATTATACCAAGTATGTTGAACTTATATATGAAACTGCTAGGGGAGTAGTTTGGGGTGAGATATCATCAATATATTGATGACATCCATTTATACAGTGCCATCCTGGGCCAAGCCAGTGATGCCACTAAAATCCTGAATTGGATATGGCAAAACAAACTCAGCTTAAGTCCCACTAGGTCAGAGCTGCCAGCCATCAATAGACATCTGGGCAACTTAGTAATATTGACTCTGGTAGTTACTTTTGATAGAGTCACGCACACCCCAAATTAGTTTGTGACCTCAGGGTTCTTTTGGATCTTGCTGAAGCAGCAGGAAACCATGCCCGGGGGAAACTTTAGCTCTAGCTACTCTATCAATTGCAATCCTACTTGGAACAGAATGTCCTGGCAACAGTAGCCCATGTTGATGACTATTTAGTTGAATTACTGTAACATGCTCTATGTGGGCCTGCCTTAGAAGATGATCTGGAATCTACAACTGTTACAAAATACAGCGGACAACCCTGACAGACTGGTATAACCCCTATTTTGAAGTTGCTGTGCTGGCTGTCAGTAGGCTTCTGCACCCAATTCCAAGTGCTGATATTACCTTGAAAGCCCTTTATGGAGCAACTTCAGGACATGTCAAAAAATACCCTGCCAGAATTGAACCCATCCAATCCTGTGATCAAGAGAGGGCTTGTTGCAGCTCCCCCCTCCTTGCAAGAATAATGACATATGAATATCAGGCATTCTTAATAATGCCCCCTATTTCATGGAATATCCTTGCCCTGAAGGTACAGGTGGCCCCAACCCTGCTGATATTTCATAAACAAGCTAAAGCAATTTTCTTCTACTGTGAATTTGGCCCCTAGATTAGAGTAGCTGGTTTTAAGGTTATCTATTATGTTTATTAATGGCTTTTAATGGTATTACTTTAACTGTTTAGGTTGTACTTCTACTTTCATTCTTCTGTTTTGCAACTGACTTGATTGCACTGCCCAGAGTCCATTACACGGGTTACAACTTTGGCAAAATAAATGAACTGCCAATAATGAACTCATAATACTGATTTACAAACAACAATTAACAACTGAGGGGGGGGGTTCAATAAAAGAAGAACTTTAGTAGGACAAGTATCACAAAAAAAGAGACTTATTTCACCTGAAGGATTTGAAAAATCCAGCATGCTAGTTGTGGGTTGTAAGAGATCAGGACTGCTGGATGAAAGTGTGCCTGGAATAGGCATAATTGCCAAACTGTGCCTGCACTGTCTTGTCCCCACAATACTGTCATCTTGTGACTGGCTTACACTGCCATCACTGTAAGAGAATATTAGAAAACTGTCAATATACATGATCCAGAAAAGAAATTATTTTAATAAGGACATAAATTAAGTGATGGAGGAACCCCAAAGGTATTTAGAAGTACTAAAAGCCTGGAAATCAGAGACAGAGATGGAAATATTCCTTGTATAGGAACACCCATATTGCTGACATAAATGAAGAAATAAATTATTTACGGAACTTTGGATTAAGTAGCAAAATTTATGCTACTTGGCTTTCCTGGTATTGGTATAAAATACTATGATACAGGTGGTCCTTGTTTAACGACCACTCATTCAGCAACCATTAGAACTTGCAACAGCGCTGAACAAGTGGTAGTTACAACTGGTCCTCGAAGTTCCGGCCAGCGCAGCACCCCTGCGGTCACATGATTGTGATCCAGGCGCTCAGTAATGGGCCCGAATTTCTGACCATCCCAGTGCCCCACTGTCACGTGACTACAATTTGTGACCTTCTCTGCCAGCTTCCCACAAGCAAAGTCAATGGGGAAGCTGGCAGGAAGTTGGAAGTCACAATCATGTGAGGTCCTTGCTTAATGATCCGCACAATCCTCACTTAATGATGGTAACCAGGGACTGCCAGAACTGCTGTCACTAAGCGGCATGGTCATGTGACATCGTGCTTTATGACCACATTGCTCAGTGACAGAAATTTCAGTCCCAATTACCATCGTTAACTGAGGATTACCTGTAACCTGAAATAGGGAGCAAATTCCTTTTCTATCAACAATGAATTGATAAACCTTCCTCTGAATGCTAACAAGATGCTAGCAAGAAGCTAACTTTTAATACAGCTTCTAAAGCCAGACATTTTGTCCTTGTATAAATATTATCCTAGCTTGCTTAGAACAGTGAAGATGGCTCCTTTAGCATGAACATTCTAATTTTTATTAGCACTAGAACTGAAAAGTTTGATAAGCAGGGATTTTCTTTAAAAATTTCAAGAACTAAGTAAAAGCAATGACTGGAAAAGAGATTGTTCAAAGTTGGATCACGAGTAGCACTCATTTTTTCCACACCTCAAAACATTTTCAGTTCCCTTAAAAAATATTCTAATATTTTATTATACCTGAATAGTTTTGGAGGCAAGATGCTGAATCGTGTCTTGTCTAAAATTTTCTTGATTCTGTTTCTTCCTCCAGACACAGTGTTTGCTTTGATTTTCTTGTTTCCTTTCTCACGTGGAAACATCTGTTCCACATCTCCAGGAATATCTGGGATGGAGTAACGATTATTTTTCTTTTCTGCTATTTTGGGAATATGTGGAACTCCATTCTTCTCCTGTCCTATCCTACTAAGTAGCTCTTTGAATACTGTAAAAAATGTTGAAAATATATTCTTTCATTAGAACATACTGCTTTTTTTAAAAAATGTATTTAGTGTCAAAGAAGATAATTAAAATTCAGAAAGTCAAACAGAACACTAGTAAAACTTATCAAACTCTCTCTATAGAAGTTTTGCTGTAGACTAGTGCCAATTTGAGACGTGCAGCACAGCACTATTCAAATTTTTCCAGCTGGTGACCACCCATCTATTTCAAAATAATTAAGCATCCAGCTGTCCCAGAAGTTATGGCTAATGATGTTATACTAAACTAAATTAGATGGATCAAAATTTTTAAGGTGCTATTTTAAAGGAGGTTACTCCGTAACGCACATACCCATGAGAGAATTCATGATTTTGAAGAGGAAGGTTGAAGAAGTGAAATAGATGTCTTAAGCCTCACACCTTAAACTCCCTCCCACGATGCTTTAGCCCCATCTACCCTAAGAGTGCTGTAGGGAATGATGCAGGAATACTCAAGGGTACAGACTGCACATCTCCGATGGAGCACATAAGCGAAAAGCTATCTTTGAACTGAACTGAAAATATCTGGAAGTAACTCTGGATGTTAATCATGCTCAAATTATGCAGGTCCATCTTAAAAAAGAACAAATGTCCTCATTACAGCAATCCTGTGAATTAGGCTGTTTATATCTTGCAGTCTTAACTGTTATGCTATTCATCTGTTTTACCCATTTTACTAGATAAGAAAGCTCAGCCCACTTTACTGTTTAAAAATCCAGTCCCTTTCTTCAAAGGAAGGATGTTTTTAAAAAATTAACTGCATTCAGAGCTACAATACAGCTTTATTTTATTGGTCAATGACTGAAATAAAGTTTCTGTCTGTCTGTCTGAGAGCTTTAGAGACAGGCCTTAGGATCTTGGCCAATGTCGCTAACAGATACTCACCAAAAATATTTGTTTTTACAGTGATGGAAAGATGAGTATTGTTTTTCAAGATTTCAGTAGCTTTTGAAAATGTAATGTTCTCAAAGTTTTGCCCATTTACTTCCATTACCTGTAAAATAACACAAACAAGATAAGCCTGTAAGAAACCATGCTTCTCAAATACTTCAGTACTTAGAAAACCAATGTTTTTACAAAACAAGAAGTTACAATCAAGTTCTTTTCTTATTCTGATTTATGTCTGTCTTTCAGAAATTTCATTTCCATGTGATGATTATAACAACTTACAAGTAGGGTATGTTTTCCACAATTTATACTTTTTAAACATCTAATTGATGATTTTTTAAAAAACTGAATCATTTTGATGGAAAAAATAACTTTATTATTGGCTCAGGCTGAGCTTGAAATTCCATTATGAAATTCCATTTTATTCATCATAAACATCCTCGGATTTAGTTCTTCCCTTATTTTTTTCTCAGTACACAAGAAAGAGATCACCATTTCTAATGCTTTTATCCAGCCATAGTTTGGCTTTACCCAAGAAACAAAAGCCACAGTTTAACAAAGATTTCTAGTTGTGGATGGAAGGAAAACAAGGTAATTTGTTTGCTGGGGCATCTGAACCAAACCAATAGAAAATATCTTGGTGACCAGTACATTCAGCTGAATGTGTTTGCCTATCTGTGTGTCACTTAAACAAAACAGATAAAAAATATAACTGTTAAAGTTTAATCTCACCTGATCACCACGTTTAAGCCCAGCTTCTGCTGCTTTGCTTCCTGATTCCACTGACTCTACAAAAATACCAAAACCTTTTTCGCTCCCTCCAAGAAGACTGAAGAAAAGTGGTGAATCTCTGGAAGGCTTTTGCAAGGTGACTTGTCTCCATTTTGCCTTTGCGGCACATGCAATGTTTAATAACCTGAGATGTCCTTTCATTTTCTGTAAATGGTCAGACAAACACATGAATATTCTGCATCTACAACAACATGAAAATCTACATTATTTGGGGGAGGGGGGGTAGACTTATGTAACCATTATTACTCCCCTATAACTGAATTTCTCGGATTGGAAATTTGTGAATTAACAAATATGAGTTTAAAACCTGCACAGCACCACGTTCAAAGCCTTCTCGATTTTTGGCAGGAGTCCTGTGTGCCATGGATATCAACCATGATTAGGCACAATTTTTATTATTCCTGTCAGTTTCTAAGAGTGACAAAATTCCTTAGAAGCAATTTTGACACCAAGCAGGTGGGGGTGGGGAGTGTGAATTCACTTGAAGAACCTCAGTTAATAAGCAGTTCCCATTCATCAAGGTCTTTGTGATTCACATTTATGAGTAAATATCTAGCTTATTACACCAATGAGAAAAAGCTGTTCCAAAGCCTGCATCTCTTTGGGATTGAAGGTCCAAAAATAGTGAATAAAAATAGAAGACTGAGCCCAGGTAGCTGCCTTGCATAATTCTTGTGGACTGATCTCAAGATATCAAGTGGGTACTGCCGCTTAGTTGGCTCATAACATAGACTAATAATGGTTGCTATTCATTTAGAAAAATGCTGGGGGAAGACACTAAAACCCCTACATGGTCCTTGGAACACCAAGAACAAATGCTAGTCTCTTTGGAACTAAGCAGTTCTATATATATTGAAAGACTGGAAAGATCTTTCAACCAGCAAAGTTAACAAATGAGCAAATGACCAGTTGAAGAAACACTGAGGAGGACAGTGGAGCCCTGTCTAGCCATGCTGTGGTATACATGGACTGCAGGATTCCCACCAAAAATCTGTCAGCTCTAAAAAAAAATCCAAATGAAGCTTTCTCCATGCATAAAATGCCACATTATGAATCAGAGACCACAATGAAGAACACTCAAATTATTCAGTGTAATATTCAGACTGCACAAGACTATCCTCCTGACTTTGATGCTGGGTTATTTGCTAGAACTGTGTCATGTCAAAGAAAGGTCCAACAATACTGGCTTAAAATACATACTCTCCTGAATGACATACAAAATACAAACATGAATGACCTATACAACACCCCTCTAAAAATGTTTTGAACAGATCAGGGTTGTTTTTTTACAGAAATATATTATATATATATTAAAAATATATAAATATATAAAAGTTTATATTGGGTCTTACCGCATTTTCCAAATTTTTTTCAAATTCTTCCAAAAATCTTGTCATGGCTGGATCTCCTTCAAAATCATTAAAATGGTTATTCACCCATAGCAGTACAACTCGAGTAACCTAAGAACAAATATAAGTTGCCGTTTCAATACATTTCTACTGCTATTGTCTAGATAAATCAATGCTTAAACTATTTATCTTTTCATTTTATGAGTTTATCAAAGTTGCTAATTACAAATTTAAAAAAGAGAAAAAGTCATCATTAGTACAGTACAACCTTCTGAGCCCCAAGGATCCATGCAATCTCCAAGATTTGAGAGCAGCCCTGAGAAAATTTCAAAATTATAATTTGTGATATTCAGAGAAAGGATTAAATACATGACTGGAATATAATAATTTTAAATAAATATTATTGATTGAAATTAAAAAAACAAAATTTTTGTTCCAGCCCCACTGCTTTTTAGAATGTGTGCCCAAGGCATGCCACTTAAGGGTGGATTGTAGCCTATAAAAACTTTTGCAAAAAAACTTTTGAGAAAAACTAAAACTTAATATTTTGTGGATTTTTTCTTGCCACTTTCAGATTTTTTAAGGATCCAACACTTCCAAATTACTGGAATGCTGATAATTAGTTCAAAGGCTAGCAAAGCAAGAACACAGTCTTCAGTCTGGCTATAAATTACAGCCCAAATCCATCTATAATGGCCATTTCCGAGTTACTTTATCAATCTATAGCAGGAAATACTCAGCCATGTAAAATATTACTCAATGTTTTGAGTTGCAGTAACTTTGTATATATAATCAGCATTATTTATGTCTTCATAATTTCGGAAGTAAACCAGTAATTGAAATTAACTTTCCAACTGGTAAACTTTTAAAATACTTTTTGTACATATAGAGTTGTGTCCATCTGAAGGAAGTGGGGGAGTGAAGACTACTTTTTTTCTGTCTCAGTGAATGAGGAATAGCAAAGCCTATTATAGGGGGTAGAGATCAGAAGGAAATCCTACCAGCCAAGTGCTTTATTGTTCATTTGCTTGTTTTTTAAAATATGCCCACTTTGATTTTACACATTTTTAAAACAACCCCAAATCTTCTTTGGTGAAAGTTATTTAGAAGGAAGTATGTTTATTAAAATTAAGAACAATCAGAATGAGCTTAATTTGGGGTACTACTCACTGATAGCATAGCATGAATAATTGCACAGAATTTGTTACTGTTATACATTTTATGAATCTTGTTTAATGATTTAATCTCTCAGTCATACTGCAGAAAAGGTAAAACATATCTGACAACATGCAGCAAAAAATTCAAGTTTTCATCAGCAAAGTTAACATTTATTTCCAACATATGACAATAAGAAAAACCTAACCAGTAATCTCCAATTTAGGAACCAACCTTGTCCCTGAGACTGTCGACCTGAAACCACTCTAAGAGTTTGTCCCCAACTTCCAGAGGGCTTGACAAAAATGTTCTGAATGTTAATAAAAAGTCTTCAATGTAGGTTGGATCCACAATAGAGTGTTCTTCTATTAAGTGCATAATGAGGCGTTCAGGTGTAGCCTTAAAAACAAAGAGATTGCAGTGAATCTCCTGACCACTTAATTCTGTAGTGTCATCAACCATGGTACATAAATTCAATTCCTAAATGTAATTCACAAACTTTTATGCTAAAACAATATCTGCTCACCCATCCACAAAATTCCTCCAATTAAAATCCTTCATCGTAAATATTTGCTACCCCTTCTTGTTACTATTTCATTTACCATCAGTCCACTGTCACGGTCAGATCACTTTTCAGCTTCTAGGGCCACCCCACCCCCCATGCAGGGGCATAAGGCCTATTAGATTGGCCCATCGCAGGCATCTATGGATCTGGATGGGTTCCAGAAGGTGCTTGGAATTTTCCCTGAGGATCTAGTTTGCAGTTCAGCTGAGACCTTAGTCACTACTTGGAATGGGCAGGGAGTTGGGGCTCTGGACCAGAGTGCTCCTACATGGACTGTTTCTGTATGCCAGTTCCAGGCTGCACCTTAGTTTTTTGAGAAGCTCCAGGAAATGAAACGCCAGAAGAGATGCCTGGAACAGCACTGGAGGTAGATGAAAAGCAAGTCTGACTGAACACAGACAAGTGCCCATATTTGGGATGACAACATTGTGATAAGGGTGGCGAAATGACACTATTTCTCATTGCATCTGTCGATAACTACCCAGAAGGGACATCTACTGGGCCACTGTGTGGATTATTCTTTTTTATGGCAGATGAAGTTGCCAGATCTGCTCAGTTGTACAGTGCCTAAGGAGGAGTCTTGTAGGGGTTATCTGGAGTGAGGCTGTGACTCCTAAGGAAGTAGACAGGGTTCTTCAGACTGTGGCTCAATCACCTATTCATTAGATTTGAATCCCTCCCAGTGGTCAAGGCCACCAGGTCCATGTACCTAGGTCCATGTGGTGGTATCAGCTTCTTTAAGGGAGTGTTGTTCCCTTGGCCCTGAAGGAGGCAATGGTGTGCCTCCTCCTCAAGAAGCCATTGCTGGGCCATGATTCTGGACACTTTTCATCCAGCCTCCAACCTTCCTTTTCTGGGGAAGTTTGCTGAGAACGCAGTTGAGCTTCAGCTCCAGAGTGTCCTGGAGAAGACAAACTGTCTGGACCCATTTCAACTGGGTTTCCAGCCAAGTTATAGTATGGAGACAGCATTAGTTGCACTTGTTATATGCCTATGGCAGAGCTGGCATGGGGGTAGTTATCCATCCTAGTGCTCTTTGATCTTTCAGCCACTTTTGATACCATCAATTATGGTATTCCTTTGGACCGGTGGGTTTTGGGATTCCGAGACTCCATTTTGCAGTGGTTCTTCTCCTTGGCAGCCAGCCTCAGTCATTGTTGACAGAGGGGGAGCAATTGAACCCACAACCCCTCACTTATGGGGTGCAAGAGGTCTTGCCTCTTTTGTTTAATATTCACATGAAACTGCTGAGTGAAGTCATCCATTAGTTTACATTCACTGGCTTACTGTACATCTTGATTCTTGACCAAGCAGGTGATACTGCTGAGGTCCTGTCCCAGTGTTTGGAGGCTGTGTGAGTCTGGATGGAAATAGATTCAGACTCAATCCTGACAAGACTGAATGGTTATGGATATTTGGGTCCCTTGGATATGGGGATTTTCCAACTCTGTTCTTGGATGGAGTTGCATTTCCCCATTCAGGACTGTTGTGCGATCTGGGGATCATCCTAGACTCACAGCTCTTTCTCAAGGAGCCGGTGACAGCAAAGTGGCCAAAGGACCTTTGCACAGGTACATCTAGTGCACCAGTTGCACTCTTTCCTAGACTGGAGAACTTTCAGATAGTCACTCATACCATAATCACCTCATGAATGGGCTACTGTAATGCACTCTACATGGGACTGCTCTTGAAGACCTCTTGGAAGTTCAAGATGCTCCAGAATGCAGGGGTGCAGGTAGTGGTGGGCATGCCTCGCTCTGCCTGTGCTCCATGAGCTACATTGGTTACCAGTAGGCTTCTGGGTACAATTCAAGGTGCTGGTTATCCCTTATAAAGCCCTTCATGGCACAGAGCAAGGTTACCTGACAAACCGCTTGTCTCCAGCATTATGTGTCCAACTGGTGAGATGGGGCACAGTGGAGCGCTTTGGGTTCCATTGATCAGGCAATGTCATCTAGTGGAACCCAGGAAGTATGCTTTCTCTGTTGTGGCACCTGCATTCTAGAATAATATCCTCCCAGATATCTGGATAACTCCCACCCTAATGCTGCTCAGGAAGCTACTGAAGACTGACTATTCACACAGGTTGATGGTAGAGCCCCTGTTGGATTTTTGTTTGTTTGTTTGTTTAAATGTCTATCATCATGCCACTTGTTTATCTTTTTCTTCTCTGGTATTGTTCTTGCTTTTTTAATTGTAAGCCCAGAGTTATTAAAAAGTCAGGCAGCCTCTAAGTAGTTTACATAAATGAATACAATCAAGTAACACAGTTATTTGAGTTATTTGATTTAATGGGCCTTTATGGTAAGAAACATGATTTTATCCTGAAGACCATCCTTATTATATTCATAAAAGCTGGAGATTAATGAATCCTTAGTAAGATGTCATTTTTTTATTACCTTAATGACAATGTGTCCTTTTCTGGTTCCACTGCGGTCAAGTTCTCTGTGCTCCTTCACCATAACAATTTCTCCTTCTTCCTCCACTTTGTGTGTATTTTTTTCAACATGGTTCAAAATACGCCAATAGTCCTGCTGGGCTATACATACAAACTGTTCCAGAATAAAAAGGGCAGTTAAAAAAAAAAAAAGAGCAATATTATGTAAAAATCTATTGTCAAAACTTCTTTTAATACAATGAATAAAAATCAGGCTATTTCAGCTTATCCATTCTCAAAGATAAATGTTAGTTAAGCATAATGAGAAATAATATGCTCAATGGAACAGATCTGGTTGAGAACTGGATTTTAAAAAAGAAAATGGTCCTACTCACATTTCAGTGGAACGCAGTTGTCAATTAACCAAAGATCAATTAAAACAAGTAGTTATTGTTTCTTGAAGAAGCGATGTTATGAGTAATACAAATAAAAATTTCTAATCTATTTCTAGAATAAGTGCTACATCCAATATCATATAAATGGACTTCTATTCACAGAAAATTGGGAGTGGCCAGGGAAGCAGCAGAAATCTGGCTGGTACTGGGCTGTCACAGTTGGATAAACCCTTAATTATTTTAAAGGATAATATATTCTATTTGTTCAGAACAAGCTTCACAACGGTAAGATATTTGACTTTTAGATGATCTATCTTACCTGGCAGTCATCTACTTTGGTCCTAACCACACCGTTCATATGTTGCTTTTCCAGAGATGGGGTAATCCCAAAACTATTTCCCATACAGAGACTTTCTGTTTTCCCATCAGGATGGCTAATTTCCACAGTGCCATTTAAAATAACATACCAAGAGTCAAGCTAAAGTAAAAAACAGATAAACCTATCTCAGTTCTCTTGCTATGAATCAAAAAGCCTCAATTGACACATAGACATGAGGTTTGATAAAAATTCAATTTACATTGCAACAATGATATGACAATTCAAGTAACAATAAAATGATTAAATATAGAGTTATATTAATGATTATTACCCTTCTATCATACAAAAACAACAAGAAATCAACAAGCAAATAAGAATTTCTGCTGACTACCACATTCTACAAAGTCTTACCTTAAGGTAAACAGTCTGTTCTTGTACAACACCTAGCCGCACTGATATTTGCAAATGGATAATGGACATATTATTGTGGCTAAGTAGAAAATACTTAGCAGAAGGATTTGAGAAACTAAACCTAAGGAATCTAAATATGTATGAATACAAAGGAGTTTTTACTGGATAAGGAAGAATATAAAAGAAGTCAGGAATATGATATAGTAACATCGTTACCTAAAATGAATGCTTTCCAAAATAAGTATATACAGAATATAAGAAAATTAAAAAGCACAGCATTACCCAAATATGTGTTAATAGAGCCAACTTGTTCAGTGGTGCAGAAGGAGTACTTGCATATAGGAAAGCTGGGGAATCTAAACAGACCCCATAAAGTGATGGCAAGGGTACATAACGTAGCTATCTTCATGGTTATTTCAATGTGCTTGTCAGCCAAATGGTAACACTTCCCCCTCATCTGACCCAGTAGAGAATACTAAACGTTGGGAACTTTTCATTATATATAATGAAGGCAAAAACTTCTACATATTCAGTAAACATTATTCAAATGGTCATCCTATTTGCTCGACAGAGAAGCACAAAAATATATGTATCCCATGTATAATATAGTAACATTTCCATGGCATCATGCCCTACTTACTTCTTGCCCATCTTCAAGGATGATGGCTCCTGCTTGCTCTACCACTTCAAATATCATTACTGAGCAAAGTTCTCTTCTTACTGACATAGTCATGTTTGCAAATGCTGGAAGCTGATGCATGAATTCCAATAATTGTTCTAGTGGATCAAAATTTGTATGTTAAATGCAAATGATATACTTTATAAAGTAAAACTATCATGCACATTGGCAAATGTTATTTAGTCTTCATAATAAGACTGGATTTCAATCTCCATCTCTATCACTCACCAGTTCATGGTAACATGGTAACTTGAATTCAATGCTAGCTTTATACATCAAAAATGTGTTTTAATCATATGGAAGGTTATTATGTACTGCATGTTAGATTCAGGGGGGAAGGGGAAGGGAGAGAGACAGACAGACAGAATGAATGCATAAAGGACTTACCATTAAGCCCTATGCAAAAAGTCATAGCAAACATTTTCCTATATTAACATGTATTTATTTATATGCATGTTCAAATGTATGTATTTATTGATTTAAAAAGACTTTAGACTGCCCATCTTAGATAGAATAAAACTGAGCAACTCACAAGGACACAATAAAACATGAAAACAACTCAAAACAACTCCCAGCGCCCCAGAACAAATTCCCCCACCCCTGAACATTCATATTTACTAGGCTCCAACCACACCCTAACCCAATGCTTGGGGGAAGAGCCAGCTCTCCAACGTTTTCCAGAAGGCCAGAAAGGTAGAGGGAGGGTATTCCATAGGGCAGAGGCAGCTACAGGGAAGGTGTGTTTCCTAGGTCCCACCAGATGACAACATTTAAGGAAAGGGATCTAGAGCATGTCCACTCTATCCCACCTGGTGGAACAGATAGATACCCTCAGGGAGAGGCAGTCCTGCAAATAACCAGGCCCTGTGCCATGTAGGGCTTTGAAGATGATAACCAGCACCTTGAATTGCATCCAGAAAGAAACTGGGATCCAGTACAGGTCACACAGAAATGGTGTAATACAAGCAAACTGCACAGTGCCCAGATCTGCAGGCACTGCTGCATTCTAAATCAGTTGTAACTTCCAGATCATAATTAAGGGCAGTCCCATGTATTGCATGTTGCAGTAATCCAATCAGGAAGTGATCAAGGTGTGGGGGGCAGTGAGCAGGGCCTCCTGGTCCAGGAATAGGTGCAACTGATGCACAAGATGAATTTGTGCAAAGGCAGTGGCTGACACACTCTAGGCATGCCTTGCATTACTTCATCTCCTGCAGCACTTCCGTAAACCAGAGTACTATATAGGATCCACACTCATAGAGATTCTGCACAAGCGTGATCCAATCAAGACCCTTATTACATGCCCATTCCAAGCAGCCACCAGAATCTCAGCTGGATAGTGTGCCACAGCTTTGGTAAAATCCCCAAGTTCCCTCTGAAACCCTATTGGGGTGGGCTGATTGAATACACCCCACTTCCCTGCAATGGAGGGTGATCGTCCAGAACTCTGGGCGCAAGAGGGTGTGAGCTGTCCATGGCAAGGGAATGATGTTAACATCTCCCAACCCCAGATTGCCATGCCACTGCTCCAAGACAAAAACCAAATCTAATATCTGACCTATACTGTAGTTGGAACAGGTCCATCATTGCCATGGTGCCATTGCCGTGGTGGCCATGAACTCCCAAGCCATCTCTGACCCCAGGCCCAGAGAAGGCATGTTGAAATCCTCCAGAACCATAAGCCCAGAGAAATCTATTGCCAACATGGCCAAAAAATCAAGAAACTTGGGCAGGGAGGAAGGCAAGCAAGCAGCAGTCCCAGCTGATCCCTATGACCCAGTTTCATAAACATGGTCCCACATGTTTCTATGTCTGGGGGAGTACTTCTAAAGCCCGCTAGGGACACTAGGAAGACATCAACCACATCTCCACCCCTGCCCCAGACTCGTAGCCAGTGCCAAACCTGAAACCTAGGAAGATACATTTCTGAGAGAAGACAGCACCTCTCGTACTCAACCGAGTTTCAGTGATACATGCCAGGTTGGCCTTCTGGTCTATGATCAACTCGTCAATGAGATTAACTTTATTACAGGCCAACCTAACACTAAGTAGCAACAGCCAGAATCCAGAGCTCCTGAAGCTCCAGGACACAGAGCTTGGTTTCTTTCTGCACTTTTGGCTTTGTTCTCTCTCTTTCTCTCTTTCTTTATTTTCTTTTCTTCCTTTATCTTAAATATTAGTTCTTGTTAGTTTTTATCTTTCTTGTTTAAAAATTTAATAAAGTTACAATTTAAAAAAAAGGAACCAGATCTTGAGGCGAAATACAGGGGACCAGAATGCAGAATTGGTCTCAGACACTAAGGCCACCTTCCTTAGGGGGTGGCCCATGCCATCTCCTGCCATAATCTGGATGCCTGTCATCTCCACAATGTTCTCCCCGCCCTCTTCCTCCCTCACAATCTATTTCCTTCCCCACACCCTTCCACTGTCAAGTTGAAGGTATCCATCCAACCAACCACCAACAAATGGGACAGATAAACCCCAATCAGGCTGCCAGAGCTTCTGTAAAACACATTCTGGGCAGCACCTTCATCCCACACCATCCAACTACTACACGCCCATTCTGCTCTCTCCCTAACCCCCAACCACCCTGCTCTGACTCAGGCCACAGTTGATTTTAAGATCTCAACTGATGTCAACAAATCCATAAGCATATCTTAAACACACCAGGCATATTCACTGGTTCATCCAACTTTGGGGGGTTTTTTTCCCCTACCTAAATAGTTGTACTTTTACAATATCTTTAGCTGGTTGATGCCTACTGCTGTATGGATGATATCCTTTTAGCTACATAATGATTAGTGTTGGGGTAATTCAGTTTACTACTGCATCTTTGTGCATTAATTTTAATAGCTTGAACAATAAAATAGATTCATTTATGGAGGCAATATTTTTATTTCTCACCAATATCATCATCTGTTTTGTCAGCAGGTTCTTTTTCAAGGCACTCCCGAACAACATCTCGCCCTAGGAGAGGATCAGATGTTCTATCAATGTCTTCATCTTCTTCTTCATCATCTTCAGAATCTACTGGTGCTTCTGGGAGACCAGTTAAATCTACATCTCCCATCTCACTTTCAGTAGCCTGTACACACAAGCAATAAATGATATTTAAGTTTCTGAAAGTTAAACATTCATACATGTGATACTGGCTACTTTTCTGTCATCTCTTTTCCAAGGCAATAATTCCTGTGATCCAACCCTCAAAGCACTCTTTGGGAAAGCAAGTAGAACCCATTATCACCAGTTAAACAAATACCAGCAGAAGTCTTTATCTTACATGTGGATGTATGAGTAACTTTTTTGGTTCTAGATTATTTCTTTTTAAAGATGTTTGAACACTGTTTTAACTCTGCAACCCAACAGTTAAAACCTATTCAACAACAGGAAAAAGTGCTTTAAAAAAACATTATGTTTCATCTCAAAACGGTTTTATTAATAGCATTGGTGATATCAAAAGTAGAAAGTCTTAACACAATGAATTTTAATTAGATCATATAACTTGCCAGAAGAAAAAAAAATGATTCACATGGCTAAAAGAAAAACTATATATTCAAATACAGGTGATCCTCACTTAATAACCACTTGTTCAGCAAACATTCAAACTTCACAACAGCACTGAATGAGTGGTACTTATGGCCAATCGTCATACTTAAGATGGTTGGAGCGATCCCATGATCACAGGATTGCCATTTGCCACTTTCTTTGCCAGCTTCCTACAAGCAAAGTCAATGCGGAAGCCAGCTGGAGGTCGTAAATGGTGGCCACTTGACATCCTTGCTTAACAACAGGGCACAATTTGCTTAATGACAATTGGAAGTGCCAGAATTTCTGCCGCTAAGTGGCGTGGTCACATGACATTGCCCTTTACAATTGCATTGCTTAATGATGGAAATTCCAGTCCCAATTGCCATCGTTAACTGAGGACTATCTGTATCAGATTTCAAGTTAAAGTATATACAACAAAAGTTATGCCATAGGATGTGGATAAATTTAAATCCAAACCAATCAAAGTTAGCTATATTTACCAGAACCAACCAATTCTCAATTTGAAAAGTTCAGGGCTATTTTGAAAATAATATTCTCTTTCATAAAAGTGTTCACAATCTATCAAAGCAGCTATTCTTTTGATTCCTATTTGGCTAACATATAAAAACGAGTAAACTGGATCAAATGACAGCTTAAAAATGATGAGCTTTAGCATTTGTACAATTTTTTACTATAGCAGGATTTTTGTTTTTTAAAAAAATGACCAAATAATTTACTGTCTAGAAAAAATAGTTTAATAAAGAAAAAAAATCTTATTTACACATTTATGGTACTAAAAGAAACATCTTGCTAGAATACCAAAAAGCAGTGAAAAGTCAATTCAGTTAATATTAAAGGTAGTCTGGAAACAGTCTTTAAACATGTGTAATTAGCTGTACATTAAACATACTAATTACTAAATAAACAAACTTGGCATTTTAAACATTTAATTACCAATAAAATAATTTATTTCAAAATAACATAGAAGGGCCCATTTACCTTAACAAGAACCCTTTGACATACTTAGGCTGAAATATGGCAAGTGGGCCACTGAGCATAGATTTTAAATCAGGAAAATAAGCGAAAGTCCCAGGAGCTTATACTATCCTCCTGCAACATTCAAATTTGTTAGCAAACTGACTGAATCAAGTGTATGAGTAGGATTTTTTTTTTCCTTCCCAAAACTGAGGTGTAGCTGAGAATTTTCCATCCACAAATTCTTTGAGGCACTAATGAGAGGTACCAGAGGGATGGGCCAATGTTTCTGCCTACATAGGCCTGAATTAGAAAACAACATAAATATGGAATGTTTCAATTCTCCCTGCTCTCTCTTTATTCCACTACTCTAATACCTGTACCTTTCTGCCACAAAATCAAATCTGGCTGATCTGATAAAGCACAGAGGAAAGAATTACATGGCTTAAGGGGGGGGGGGGAGGAGATAAATTCCTATGCCCAGTCTTTCCAGAAAAAAAAGTTGATATTTCTGGAAGAAGGAATCATGTCTGTTGAATTTGTATATGCTAGAGTAATGTAGTCTAGGATTCCTAGTAGATTCAGAAGAAAATAAAACTACAACTAGAAAACGTAAACTAATATTCCAGGATCATTGAGGACTCAATCTGAAAAGGTTTAAGACCATGGTATTGCTGAAGCTAAGAAACTGTGCATAGATGAAGTATTACTTTTCCCATTTAAGGAAAAAAAAAACAGTGTTAATGTGACCAATAATTAGTATTTGCTGGATAGATCACATAAAACAATATAAAAATAAAATCCAAATCTACCCATTATTAATATTCTCCCAACATAATAGGAAAAGGCCTGCCTATGTCCCCCAGAAACCCTGGTTTGATCAGGATTGCATACCTGGTAGAACAGGATTAATAACAGCTTTTAAAATTTATACAGTGAGCAACCATGTATAAATAGTATAAATCCTCCCCTCATCATCTTAAATGTTTTTAGTATTTATGTATAGGGTGTAATGGAAGGCATGTGCGAGGAGGATACTGGAATGGAGGAT